TACCCCGTTCTGCTGCGGTGATGCTGGTAGCGTGTAAGACTGGATGATCCCCCGACCCTGACAGAACGTCTCCAGGCGAGTGGAAGAAAACTCACCACCACGGTCCGAGTGTAGGCGAAGCCCACACAGGCCCTTGGCGCCACCCCACGCTAGTAGCCACGGCTCGAGGACGGTAGGCACGTCGGCCTTCCGTCGCAAGGGGAAAACCGTGGTGTAGCGGGAGTAGTCGTCCACCACAATCAGGAAGTAGCGCTCCTGACGTGGGCCAAGGACCGGAGAGGGGCCCCAGACGTCCAAGTGCAGGGTCTCGAAGGGAGCCGTGGTGGGGGGGAACGAGGAGGAGTGAGGGGCAGCGCGCTGCCGACCCTCGACGCAAGGAGTGCACAGCGGCGCAGGCGAGCGGGGAAGTGGTGCAAGCGACCCTGGGAGACCTGAGACCAGACGGTAACGTGCCATCCTACTGAGACGCGGGAACGACGGGTGACCTAGACGGTGGTGCCAGAGGACCGACGGGTGGGTGAGGGACCGACAGTCACACGACACATCAGCTACCTGACCTGACCTGACCTGACCCGACTCAGTGTGGTGGGACCCAGTGTGTAGTGAGTACAGACCAGATCCCGACTCTCTGTGGAATGTGGCCAGGGGCGCCCCAGTGGCACCGACAGTGCAGGAGGCAACAGGCTCGTCCAGTGGGAAAGTAGTGACTACGCCTAGGTCGTGAAGGTGACTGACACCCACCAGGTTCCTAGAGAACGAGGGGGTGTAGTAACCTGTAAGAAAACCTGAGGGAGCCGCCGGACACGGAAGAGTGGTGGTGCTGCTAGCAACTACACGTCCCACAGAGGGGTCAGCCAAGGCGACAGTGACTGGAGTGCGCAGTGGTGTGAGGTCGGTACAGTCGCGAAAGAAACAGCTGGACGCTCCAGAATCTAGGGTGAAGGAAAGCTGTGCAGTCTGTGGGGTCGCACCCGAACCAGCTACAAAGGCTAGTGCTAGACTAGTGGTAGCTGCAGCTTCTACACAAAGACCCTCAGAGGCGCCGGGACTGGAAACAACACACGCACCAAGACTGGAAACACAGGTCTCTATTCGTGCAGCCGGAAAGGGTCCTAGACCAGGCAGGTGAGACTCAACTGGTGCAGTAGTGCGCTGGCGAAGGCGCGAAGGCCAGTGCGGTGTAATAGCGTGAGGACCAAAACGCTCACGGTGGAGGTCGTCGAGTCGACGGTAGCAGCTGGACGCAGTGTGGTCAGGACTCCAGCAGGTAGTGCCAGCACCAGGGCCTGTCAGGGCCCGGTACCCGCAGGGGCCGACGTCTCGCCCACTGCTAGCTGAGCCACTGCTGGGGGCGCCACACTTTGGACCCGCAGGCCCCCACTGACGGGAGTGCTGCGGCTGGCCCTGCTGCTGTAGAACCCTAGTACATGCCATGTGAGCCTATGCTGTTGCTGGTTCTGCTGGGGGCAGCCTAAGCTGCTGCTGGTGCGCTGGGGGCAGCCTGTGCTGCTTCTGGTTCTGCTGAGAGGCAGCCTAGGCTGCTACTGGTTCTCCAGGGGGCAGCCAATGCTGCTGCTAGTGCGCTGGCAGTTGCCTAAGCTGCTGCTGGTGCGCTGGCGGTAGCCTAAGCTGCTGCTGGTGCGCTGGGGGCAGCCTATGCTGCTGCTGGTTCGCTGGGGGCAGCCTATGCTGCTGCTGCTGGTGCTCTGGCGGCAGCCTATGCTGCTGCTGGTTCGCTGGGGGCAGCCTATGCTGCTTCTGGCTCTGCTGGGGGCAGCCTTAGCTGCTACTGGTTTTGCTGGGGGCAGCCAATGCTGCTGCTGGTGCGCTGGTGGCAGCCTATGCCGCTTCTGGTTCTGCTGGGGGCAGCCTACGCTGCTGCTGGTGCGCTGGGGGCAGCCTATGCTGCTGCTAGTGTGCTGGCGGCAGCCTATGCTGCTGCTGGTTCTGCTGGTTCTGCTGGTTCTGCTGGTTCTGCTGGTTCTGCTGGTTCTGCTGGTTCTGCTGGTTCTGCTGGTTCTGCTGGTTCTGCTGGTTCTGTTGGTTCTGCTGGTTCTGCTGGGGGCAGCCTACGTTGCTGCTGGTGCGCTGGGGGCAGCCTATGCTGCTGCTGGTGTAGCTGGCGGCAGTGTAATCGGCTGGGGCTACTGACGGCGGGTGTGGTAGATCGTGGGGAGGCAGGTTTCAGGTGGGGAAGCTGTTAAGGCAGCGGGCTACAGGTGAGGCGGCGGTTCTGTGCAGTTCTGTGCGGTTATGTGCAGTACTGTGCGGTTCTTTGAGGTTCAATGCGGTGGAGAGGACTGGGTGGGGCAGCTGATTCCGGGTGAGGTGCCTGGAACGGGTGGGGCAGCAGGTTTCCAGGTGGGGCGGCGGTTGTCAGGTCTGGGGCGGTGGTTTTCAGGTGGGGAAGCTGTTAAGGCGGCGGTTCTGTGCGGTTCTGTGCAGTTATGTGCAGTTCTGTGCGGTTCAATGCGGTGGAGAGGACTGGGTGGGGCGGCTGATCCCGGGTGAGGTGCCTGGAACGGGTGGGGCAGCAGGTTTCCAGGTGGGGCGGCGGTTGTCAGGTCTGGGGCGGCGGTTTTCAGGTGGGGAAGCTGTTAAGGCGGCGGTTCTGTGCGGTTCTGAGGGGGATTTCAGGTCTGGGGGCCGGTTACGACGGTGGGCTGCACGTGCGCGCGGCTACGACGTACTAGCGCGGAGCTGCGGGTGCGACTAAGGCTGCGCGCGCAGCTACGTGCGTTCGTCTGCTGCGCGCTAGAGGACTGGGGGGCAACACGCGGGGTAAAACGAGTGGGGCGCGGGGCTAAAAACCGAGTGACGCTCGGCAAAAAACGGGTGGGGCGCAGGGCAGAAACGGGTGACGCGCGATGTCGACGGGGGGCGCGACCTACTCGGGCTCTACGGGGCAGGGCGCTTCGGGCTATGGGTCGCTACGAGGCGCGCGGGTGGTGGGCCCATAGACTATCGAGAGAAATTTCGCCTAAGGGAAAAAAATCGCCTAGGGGAAAAATCGCCTAAGGGAAACCTAGCTCTATACCATGTTACGATAAGAATGAATTGATAGAAAATGTGAAGTACAACCCTAGATGTAGCAAACCCTAATCATGCAAGTAAGTAGAAATGTAACACCTAGACTAACCTAAACAACACATATAAAATATATGTTGACAATCTGCTCTGTCCTGGTCCGTGCAGAAGTTGGTTTCCTGGTCTTCCGTGACATGTATCATGCCAAGAACTGGCGCGGAGAACCATTGAGCGTTTTGGAGCCTGGTGGAGCAGCGTTGTGCAACGTGGTGCAGCGTTGTGCAACGTGGTGCAGCGTTGTGCAACGTGGTGCGGAGGAGAGGAGAGGAGCCTGGCTGATCCTTGCGCTGCTGGAGTGCTGGAGGTGCGGAGTTGCGGAGTGCTGGAGGTCCTGGTTGTTGCGTGCTGCGGAGCAGAGGCGATGCCTGAAGGGCGATGGAGCACAAGCGTAGAGCAGAGGAGAAAAAGCATCGCCTCTTCTCTTTGCTGGTAATGTTCTTTTTTGAAATGTTTTCTGATTTCCTTCATTATGCTTTTGTCATTTCGGTTTTCCTTTCCTTTACTCTGTCCGCCGTATTTCTGTCTTCCGTAAGTTTATTTCCCTGTGTACCATGTCCTGTGTGCCTTGTCCGTCCAGAAATGTGGAGGAGGGGGGCAGCAGAGAAGACAGCAGAGGAGAGGAGGAGCCGAGGAGAAGAGGAGCACTGGAGGGATCATGCCAGAACTCGCTGCGACTCCAGAGAGGAGCACAAGCGTCACCTCTGCTCTTTGCTGGTAATCTTCTTTCTTGCGTTTTTCCTGTCGCCCTAGTCCTTTCTGTTTGCATTGCTTCTGTTTTCCTACAATCTGTCTGCTTTATTTCTGTCTTCTGTAGTTCTGTTTTCCTTATTCTGTTCGCCTCGCCCTGTGTGTCCGTCCAGAAATGTGGAGGAGAGGAGGGGGGCAGCAAAGGAGACAGCAGAGGAGGAGAGGAGGAGCACTGGAGGGTTCATGCCAGTACTTGCTGCAGCGACTCCAGAGACGAGCAGAAGCGTCGCCTCTGCTCTTTGCTGGTAATCTTGTTACTTGCCTAGTTTCTGTTTGCTGTAGTTCTGTTTGCGTCGTTTCTGTTTTCCTTTGCCTCTGCTCTTCGCCTCTGCTTTTCGCACGTCTGTTTTCCTTATTCTCCTGTGCGCCTTGTCCAAGCAGAATGTGGAGGAGAGGAGGAGCAGAGGAGTCAACAAAGGAGAACAAAGGAGCAGAGGAGCAGCTGATGTTTACGGACACGTTGCTGAGGTGGACGGGCGCGTGGCTGAGGTGGACGGGCGAGCGCGGTGGGATGACGCACGGCCGGCAGCCTCTGCCTCTACCCGCCCTGCTGACCACCCGCTCGTGGAGCAGCAAGGCAACACTGGCATCTCGTGGGCAGCAAAGCAACTGGGAAGTCTCTTTCCCCTCGCCTTCCGTTCTCCATTCGTCACCCTCCATTTGTTTCGTTTCGTCATTCCGTGTTTTCCGCACCTCGTTCGTTCTTCACTCCATCGTCCTGCATTTCGTGTTTATGCACGTCCCTGTGATACGTTCGGCTGCAGCTTAGTAGATGTCCTCCGCGGGTTTTGGGTAGCATAGATTTTGGGTTGGGTAGCATAGAGTTTGGGTTTTGGGTAGCATAGCTCCTCCCTCTGCTAGCTGCAGCCGGCGTATCATGGACGTGCATCCATCCCACCACCCACCTCGTTTCCACGTGTTGTTCTCCGCTCTCAATTTCGCACTTCGTTTCCGCTTTCAATTCTGCATTTCGTGTGTTTGTTTTGCTTTCTTTTTCGTTTCGCAGTTCTGTTTACTGACTTCGTGCATCTGTTTGTGTGTTCCCCCCTGTTTTTCAGCAATCATGGGTTCTTCACTCAAGGATGCGCCGAGCAGAGGAGCCTGCAGAGGACGGCAGCAGTGACTCAGGACGACGGCAGCAGTGAGAGGGAGAAGCGAGCGGTGGGATGACGCACGGCCGGCAGCCACACGGCTGCCTCCTACCCGCCCTGCTAACCACCCGCTCTGCTCGAGGCGGGCACCTCGTGCTAGGAGGCGCGGAGGCAAGAAGGCGGCACTTCAGCAGAGGTGTAGTGCGGTGTGGAATGGTACGGTGAGGTATGAGGAGGAGGCGGACACTTCGGGCAACGAGCCGGCGCGGAGGCAAGGAGGCGGCAGTTCAGCAGAGGTGTTGGCAGTGTTGGCAGTGTAGTGTTGGCAGGGCAGTGTTGGCAGGGCAGTGTTGGCAGTGTTGGCAGTGTTGGCAGTTTTGGCAGTGTTGGCAGTGTTGGCAGTGTTGGCAGGGCAGTGTTGGCAGGGCAGTGTTGGCAGGGCAGTGTTGGCAGGGCAGTGTTGGCAGTGTTGGCAGTGTTGGCAGTTTTGGCAGTGTTGGCAGGGCAGTGTTGGCAGGGCAGTGTTGGCAGGGCAGTGTTGGCAGGGCAGTGTTGGCAGTTTTGGCAGTGTTGGCAGGGCAGTGTTGGCAGTGTTGGAGGCACTTCACTCAAGATGGAACAGCGGAGGCCCCTGCAGAGGAGCAGGTGTAGTGCTGTGTGGTATGGTGTGGTCTGGTGTAGTCTGGTGTGGTCTGGTTTTGTGTGGTGTGGTGGAGCAAGGAGGACGGGCGGGCGCGGTGGGATGACGCACGGCCGGCAGCCACTGGCGTGTGGCTGCCTCCTACTCGTCCTGCTGACCACCCGCTCAAGGCAAGGAGGACACTTGGGGCAAGGAGGTACGCATGCGACTCTTGGGGCTCGAGGCAGGGAGGACACTTGGGGAAAGGAGGAGGAGGCAACCAGGCGGCACTTCAGGTGAGGGGACGAAGAGGCAAGTTGGCGGCACTTGAGACGAGGAGGCGGCACTTCAGGCGAGGACGCGGCACGTCCGGCAAGGGGTGAGGCGGAGGAACGTGAGGGAGTGGTTGATGGGTTGGACGAGTGGATGCATGGAGGGGGATGCAGTGGAAAGTGGAACGGAGAGTAGCGGTGGGACGTGTTGAGGCGGAGAGGGTGGTGCCACTGTCTCTCGAAAGTCCTCCTCACGGCTGGCCCCGCTCATCGCTGCTCCTCGTCTTCTTTCTTCAGCACCGCCCTCCCTGCACCTCCTCTTCCAGCTTTGACGCCCAACCTGACCTGCACTCCGTCCTCATCCCCTTCCCACCGTCGAGGAGGGCGCACGGGGAGTCTACAGCGTCACGTCCGGCAAGGGGTGAGGCGGAGGAACGTGAGGGAGTGGTTGATGGGTTGGACGAGTGGATGCATGGAGGGGGATGCAGTGGAAAGTGGAACGGAGAGTAGCGGTGGGACGTGTTGAGGCGGAGAGGGTGGTGCCACTGTCTCTCGAAAGTCCTCCTCACGGCTGGCCCCGCTCATCGCTGCTCCTCGTCTTCTTTCTTCAGCACCGCCCTCCCTGCACCTCCTCTTCCAGCTTTGACGCCCAACCTGACCTGCACTCCGTCCTCATCCCCTTCCCACCGTCGAGGAGGGCGCACGGGGAGTCTACAGCGTCACGTTCGGCACGGGGTGAGGCGGAGGAACGTGAGGGAGTGGTTGATGGGTTGGACGAGTGGATGCATGGAGGGGGATGCAGTGGAAAGTGGAACGGAGAGTAGCGGTGGGACGTGTTGAGGCGGAGAGGGTGGTGCCACTGTCTCTCGTAAGTCCTCCTCACGGCTGGCCCCGCTCATCGCTGCTCCTCGTCTTCTTTCTTCAGCACCGCCCTCCCTGCACCTCCTCTTCCAGCTTTGACGCCCAACCTGACCTGCACTCCGTCCTCATCCCCTTCCCACCGTCGCGGAGGGCGCACGGGGAGTCTACAGCGTCATCGACATTGTAAGTCTCTGGTTTTGGTGTGGAGTGGTGTCGAGTGGTATGGTGTGGTGTGGTGTGCTTTTGGGAGGACGGAGGGGAGAGCGGCAGCATGAAGGGGGACGCTTCAGGCTAGGAGGCGGGGAGGCGGCACTTGAGGTGAGCATTCGAGGAGGCGGCACTTCAGGTGAGCATTCGAGGAGGCGGCACTTCAGGTGAGCATTCGAGGAGGCGTCACTTCAGGTGAGCATTCGAGGAGGCGGCACTTCAGGTGAGCATTCGAGGAGGCGGCACTTCAGGTGAGCATTCGAGGAGGCGGCACTTCAGGTGAGCATTCGAGGAGGCGGCACTTCAGGTGAGCATTTGAGGAGGCGGCACTTCAGGTGAGCATTCGAGGAGGTGGCACTTCGTTGAGCATTTGAGGAGGCGTCAGAGCATTTGAGGAGGTGGCACTTCAGGTGAGCATTCGAGGAGGCGGCACTTCAGGTGAGCATTTGAGGAGGCGGCACTTCAGGTGAGCATTCGAGGAGGCGTCACTTCAGGTGAGCATTTGAGGAGGCGGCACTTCAGGTGAGCATTCGAGGAGGCGGCACTTCAGGTGAGCATTCGAGGAGGCGGCACTTCAGGTGAGCATTTGAGGAGGCGGCACTTCAGGTGAGCATTTGAGGAGGCGGCACTTCAGGTGAGCATTTGAGGAGGCGGCACTTCAGGTGAGCATTCGAGGAGGCGGCACTTCGTTGAGCATTCGAGGAGGCGTCAGAGCATTTGAGGAGGCGGCACTTCAGGTGAGCATTTGAGGAGGCGGCACTTCAGGTGAGCATTTGAGGAGGCGGCACTTCAGGTGAGCATTCGAGGAGGCGGCACTTCAGGTGAGCATTCGAGGAGGCGGCACTTCAGGTGAGAATTCGAAGAGGCGGCACTTCAGGTGAGGTGTGGTGTGGCAGCAAGGAGGGGGGAGCGACAGTAAGGACGGGAGTCAACACCATCACCGACTAGTCCCCAAGACGGCACTCCAGTTTCCTTGGTAAGTGTCGTTTCCAGTTTTTTGCATCTTTGTTTTTTACGTGCTAACTGTTGTCTTTCCTATCTTTTTACAGGACTACTGAAGACTCAAGACCGGAGACTGAAGACCAAAGACCCCTTCACCCCCCCTCTCCTCCCCTCCCCTCTCCTCTCCTCTCCTCCCCTCCCCTCCCCTCCCCTCCCCTCCCCTCCCCTCCTCTCCCCTCCCCTCCCCTCCCGTCAAGTTGATATGCACAACATGCGTGGGGAGCACTGAAGTGAAGACCCCCAACGGTGGCATCAGGTAGAGTGCGGCAGGGGAGTGCTAACGGCGTTAGGGCTGGCCTCCTAACGCCTGAAGCGCCCCTGTGTGTGGGTGCTCTGATGATGGATGGCGGGACGCTACCTGAAATCGGATGAGCCTCACCCCGCCTCCACCTGGGCCAGGCTCTGCCTGGTTTGAGCGAGGCTTGGGGGACGCTTCATGTCCTCCTCGTGCCACTGCGGGGTTGCGGAGCGGAGGTGGACTGCACGGCACGCCAGCAACGGTCGTCGTGGTGGTGCGTGTTGTAAGTGTAGGTGCTTTCCGTGCTTTCCTTGCATGTAATTCTTTGCTGTTTCCTTGTTTTTGTTGCTTGTTTTTTCTTCACTGTTTACTTGTTTGTTGCTTGTTCTTCTTCGCTGTTTCGTTGTTTGTTGCTTGTTTTTTCTTCGCTGGTTCCTTGCTTGTTTCCTTGTTTGTTGCTGTGCTTGCTTGCTTGCTTGCTGTTTGCTACTAACCCCCCGTGGTCCCCATGCAGGTCCCACACGAAGGGTCCCCACCTCAACGTGGTGTGTGGGTGTAACACTAGGGGTTAACCCCCCTAGTGGCCAAGAGGGGCCCAGAAGACCCAAGAGAAGACCATGGAGCGCTTCATGATTGCTTTAATGATTGTAGTTATAGATAATTGCCTAAATAATGATAGATCTGCTTAGGTTATAAATCACACAAATACGTCCCAGGAAGGACATTCAGAAATAGGTGGTTTAATAACATGTATCAGAGAAGCATATAGCAACATAGCTAATCAACAGGATCCTTGATGTAAGCATACATCCAGTCCATCATTTCATGCAAATAAATAATACGGTATAATGCAAAAGAGATACCCCTGTCATGGGACATTGACTGGTATTGCTACCACTTCTGGCAGACAAAACCAAGGGGCACTGTTCTCCTGAGTTTATATATGCTTGAGATTGAGATGTGTACCACTCAGTATTCTCAATTTTGCTCACATATTCTCAGGCTGATTGAATCAGCATTCTGCTCCTCGTCTTACCATGACTTGCATGGAAGTGTGGGTGGCAAGCAATCATCTAAACTCTCTATCCCTCAACACAAAGGGAGCAATGAGCGTCCACAGATAAACCAAAGCAGATAACCACAGCAAAGCCATCTTGACCCAGGTGCTAATCCAACCAGCATCGATGCTCCATTCAACCGGGGTTTGATTCATATTCCACCCCAGTAATATCATAGCCATGTACATTGAACCTGTAAGGAACACGAGATGGAAGAAGCCGTAACCGTAGGGCACCTCTCCGTTACCGGCGGATTCCTCGTCTTTAGGCCGGAGCGAGAAGCAACGGGAGTCGATTCCTGTGGCATAGACTGAAATGGCGATGCTTATGAGTGCCACTATGAATGCCTGTGAGGCACAAACGGGATGGGAAGGGAATGGAGAACAAAGGACAAGTACCAGTTTGTGGGTTGTGAAAGGTGCTCGGTTGGGGGCTGGATGTATGCACGTCATTCAACGAAGCACGAATAAGAAGCGTACAACAGTGGTAAATGATACAAGTTGGGATGTTCTCACCAGAATATCAAGCCACCCGCCGTATCCGGTCTGGCGAGGGCGAGTGTTGCACGCCTCAGCCGGCGGCTCACTCATGATCGCCGACCAGCAGAGGAAGACGAAATACACCGCCATGACGCCTGTGGTGAGAGGGCCTGCGTCCACCTGCACACACACACATACAGATGCAAGTGGGATAGGAGGTTGCGAGGTGACTTAAGGTCAGAATTTTTACAGCGTCGGGCTATGTAGCACCAGGCAAGAACACACTGGGTTGGACAGAGGTGGTGAGAACCTTAGTTGGTACTTTACGTTTTTAAGGGTCACGTAAACGTAAACTTACGCTTGAGTTTACCTTTACGTTTTCTTACTCGTAATTTTACGTAAAGTCGCACGGGCAGGGCAAAAAAAAAAAATTTGGCTGCGAAATGGACAAATCTGACTGATATGAGGTGGGAGACGCTGTGACATGTCCGTGTAGATTTGGGGCATCTGTAAGTTGATGTAATAATGTGCTAACATGCTTGGGCATAGAAGAACCAAGCTAGTGATTGATTAGGCGCTTCCCATGCAGCCACTTAGTGCGATGAATTCTTATCTTTCCGGGCAGCCACTAAATGTTTCTGGCTGACCGTAAGCGTAAAGCTGTTTTGGGCCCACGTTAGTAAACGTAAGTTCACTACGTAAAGTCACGTACACGTAAACCACCGTAAACGTAAAATGCCAACTAAGGTGAGAACCGTGAAAAATACGATGAGAAGGTGAGCCACGGACGTATTAGGAGTGCTCACTTTGGGACGGGCAGCTCACCTTGGGATGCACGGAGATGGCAGTTAGAGCCACCACAAGCACGAGGAGGAAGGTGATGAAGAAGATGTTGAGCGAGCAGGAGGAGGAGGGCGCGAAGTAGATATACATGAGGATGATGCCTGTGAGGAAGAGCAGGTAGCACACGATTGATACCACCGCCATCCATTTGTGCCTGCACACACACATGCCATGAGATGCATGCATGCGTGAGTAGGTGTCAGGTTATACTTTTACACATGTATCCATACACTTAGTTTTCTGTGCATATCTGTGCATCTACAAGACAAATGATGAGTGAACATTCACCAGCATCGAAGCATTTGAAACGGTAAAAAACTAAGCGAAAGTTCTCACATCTTATCGTTGTTGAGCCAAGAGTCATTCCAGACGTAGATGAAATTGATAATGCTCACGAGCTGAATCACCAGAAACACTGCTGCTCCCGCTATCGCCACCTCGCCATACACCTGAAACACCTCTGGTCAGGTGAAAACCACAGAAGGACCGAAGCGTCAGTGGGAGGGAGTGAGGGATGAAGCAGTGAACATGAACAAACGGATCCAGTCCGTAACGGGACTGAGGCAAGAAGAGCACAGGAGCCGGACACGCGCAGAAGCAGGAGGAAGCACACAACAGACATACGGTATGGAGGAGAAAAGAGCGTACATACGGTAGGGGAGGAGGAAGGGGAGGAAGAGCAGCAGCAGCCAGAGGATGAGCTTGGGAGGCCACCAGCCGGAGTGCCAGAGGTCACGACAGCTGTCCTCGAGCTTGGCACCGGCTGTGGTGGCGAGCATGAGCGCGAAGAAGAGGCACAGGCCGAAGCTCACTCGCAGCACTGCCAGCGCGCCCACACACCCAGGGTTGTTCGGCCCGCACGACTGGAAGCCTGGTGGGAAGGGAGTACGGGACGAAAGAGGGTGGAAAGAAGGAAAAGAGGGAAGGGGGGGAGGAGATGACCAGGCGAAGTGGATTTGTGCTTCATGTGAGAAGAATGGGTGGGAAAACAGGAGGAAAGGAAGGTGGGAGGATAAAGACAGCGCTACAAACCGTGACGGGAAGAAAAGGAACGACGAATGAAATGCGGCTTTTCTCCGCAATGCAAACGTTGTTACCACCACAGCATTCCAATAACCACTATGACTAGTTCCGAATGTAGTGTACGGATCGCACTCACTGTAGAGATTGTAGAGTGCATCGGTGGCGTAGTCTCTAAGAACCCACGCAACAACAACGGAGGCCAGGAACATCCCTCCATATAAGAACTTCGCCGCGACGCGCGACGGGCCGAAGGAGCAGCAAGAGCAGAGGCAGTGACCCAAGGCGGTACCGGCAAAAGCACCGCAGCAGCCGGTGCAAAATCCGATGCACATCGTGCCTCGCCCGCTAATTAATGCTCCTGATGCTGATCGCGGATTGCGGCTGATCGTTTGATGCTGGTCGTTGATCGTTGATCGTCGATCGCTGATCTCTGATCGACGGTCTTGATCGGCTCGCTCTGGATGATCGGCTCTCTTAACTATGACGCTCTACCCGGCATAGACCGCGTCCGAAGAGTCGTCAGTGAGTTGATTGATGCATTGTTGACGCGGATCATGGTGCTAACCGTTGTCAATGAGTCGGTTGATTCAGCATTTTCGCAAATGCCTGGCGATTGACACGCAATATTTATCGCTCTGCTTGAAGCTAATCAATGAACGCGTTAGTTTGCCTGACGACGACTAACAAGTTTTGTGACGGAAGAACACTCGAGCTATTCTAGGCCAATAAAGACATGTAAGCGCCGCGGGAATGATTCAGTGCAGACCAGAGAGACCAGGGTAAGAGGAAGGCACGGACATGCTTCAAGCTGCCGTGCTGAAATGAAGCAACTGTTGCAATCGGATCCACGGGGAATGTCGCTTTCACCAATTTCCCTTTCTTTGAGCACCGCACCCGACCATTCTGTATACATAAGCGGACCGTTCTGGAACCCAAACCGCCACATTGAGCCACACGCAAACGTGTGGGACACTGGTTCCTCTGTTTATTCTCGTTAATGGCTACTTTATTGCTTTCACGCAGTTGTTCATTCCTCTAGTATAACTTCCTGGCTCTGATATTCCAACCTCCAAATGCTTTCTCCCTGGCTCTGGGATTTTGACATACCGTACTGTACAACTGGATTTGCCTGTCAAATCACGTGCACCTTGCAAGCACCATCTGTCAGACGCCACGCCAATGTTGGCGCGAATGTGTTGTCACCAGCATCACTTCACGCAATTCAAGCTAATCCCAAGGTGATGTTCAGGCATCGCTCCATGCGCAACCAGCTTAGACAGGAGCTGGAGCAGGAGCTCAGGCAGGATAACTGACCGGCCTGTTTCTTCCACTCCACTGTCGTTTAGAAGACTTACCACGGTACGAGGCGAGGCTTTCGGCCTTGATAATAACCTCTTACCTTTAACCGACGAGTCGTTGGCCTTGGAATCTCGGGCCGCGAAGCCCGTTCAATTTTCCCATTCTAGAAATTTAGGAGGCATCGCGAGCCGTTGGCGCGAAGTGAGGCTTGAGTGCTCGCAATCATGGCGCTGCTCCTCCGGTCGTCGCGCGCGGAGCGGGTCGTGCGCGCGGGACTGGCGGCGGGATTCCGGCGATCTTGGAGTCCCGCGCTCGGGAGTTCCGCCGTTCGAGATGTCAGTGAAATCCACGGCAGGAGCGACGCCGCTGACGTGGCCGAGCCCCGCTCTGACGTGGCGAGGCCGCGCGGTGACGTGGCAGGAAGGCGGGGTTACAGCAGTAGCAGCAGCTTGGCGAGCCTTCTGTCTCCGCGAGCTCCTCCGCTAACCCTCGATACAATCAACCCGCTGGTATCACATTCCTCCGCGAACAGCTCTTCAGTGCACCTCGATGTTCCTCCAAATGCACGTCAGCATCGCTCCTGTGGCCTCATCGTGCGTCCTCCCTCTCATCATGCTCCAGTTCTTTAGTTCTGCTTGGTTTCGGTTTGCCTCTCGTTCCCTCCCCTCTCCTTCCCTCGCCTCTCCTTCCCTCGCCTATTTGTCTCCCCATCAGGTGTGCGAGTGCGAGTACGCAGTGCGGGGCGAGATAGTCGCAAGAGCACTCATGCTCGAGTCCCAGCTGGCAGCAAAGCCGGGCACACTGCCTTTTAATGAGGTGGGATGCATTGTCACTGATGTCAATCCGAGCCATTATACCAGACAGTTTCCTTTCGCGTGCACTGCAGTCAGAGGGATCTCCACTCCACCTACAGTTGCATTCCTTGAGCCTTGTTTTCTGCCACCCCCCTCGCCCCTTCAGATCATCTACTGCAACATTGGCAACCCCCAAGCTCTCGGGCAGCCACCCATCACCTTTTACAGAGAGGTGAGCCTCGGCCTTGGATAAGGTACGCACCATGCAATGCCCATGCCTGGCAGGCCTTTCCACGGCCACGTAAGAGGAGAGGGTCTCAAATACGGAATCTGGTAAAGAGCCCTCACTCCTCCCGTCCTCCCCCCCTCAATCCCACCAGGTCCTCGCTCTCTGCGACCACCCTTCCCTTCTGCACGTCAAGAATCCAGGCGGCTCGTCTCCCTTCAGTGCCACGGCCCGGCAGCGGGCGCAGCAGATGCTGGACTCCATTCCGTGTGCTGCCACGGGCGCGTACAGCCACAGCCAGGGGTTGCCGCTGTGCCGGCAGGTCGTGGCAGAGGGGATTGCGCGGAGAGACGGCCATGCTGCCTCGGCTGATGATATCTTTCTCACTGATGGCGCCAGCCCTGCTGTATGTCTTTGTTGCTGTTACTGTTGATGCTAGTGCTGTTATCACTGCTGTCAGTGCTGTCAGTGCTGCCATCGCTTTGTACAGGAGAGACGGCCATGCTACCTTGCCTCGGCTGATGACATCTTCCTCACTGACGGCGCCAGCCCTGCTGTATGTGTGCCCGTGTGCTAGCTATCACTGCTGCCTTGCGTTGCATTGCTCCGTTTTCTCCCCACTCATCAACCATTCCTTTGCCCTCCATCTCTGATCATCCCCACTCGTATTCCGTCCAACACCACCGCTTTCCTTCTTCTGCCCTTTTTCCTCCCTTCTGCTCCTCCACGTGTCACCATCAGGTGCAAATGATCCTCAAGCTTCTCGTGCGCAGCAAGGCGGACGGCGTGCTCTGTCCCATCCCGCAGTACCCTCTATACTCAGCCTCGCTAGCACTCAACGGCGGCACCCTCGTGCCGTACTATTTGGACGAAGGGGCGCGCTGGAGACTCGACCCCGCCCATCTGCAAACGGCAGTGGAGAAGGCAGGAGAGGAGGGCGTGTGTGTTCGGGCGCTGTGTGTGATCAACCCAGGGAACCCCACAGGGCAGGTGAGAACCAAAGGAGCGCTTGATTTGCTTGCAGGAGCCCCTTCAGGGCCAACCCGCCTATCTGCAGGAGCTCTGTGTGATCAACTCAGGGAACACCACTGCTTCGAACACCACTCAGGTGAGGTTGGAAAGATGGTTCTAGCTGTTATTACTGGGCCAGTACGACCTGGATGAAGGGGCGCGCTGGAGGCTCGGCCCTGCCCTTCTGCAAACGGCCGTTGACAAGGCTGGGAAGGAGGGTGTGTGTGTGCGGGCGCTTTGTGTGATCAACCCAGAAAACCCCACCGGGCAGGTGAGAACACAGAGGTGCCTATGTTTTTCCGTGATCCCCCATGTGCTAGTCACCATACCCTGTACCCTATGCTCCATTTCTCATACCTCATGCCCGATGCCCTGTGCTAGAGGAGGCGGATCAGCAGGCGATAGTGCACTTCTGTGTGGACAACGGGCCGGTGCTGATCGCAGATGAGGCAACTCCCCATACTACGTTTTCATTCATCCCATACCCCATGCCCAGTGCCGTGTGCCCCATGCCACTTGCCCCTATGCCTCATTCCGTGGCAGGTGCTAGAGGAGGCGGATCAGCAGACGATAGTGCGCTTCTGTGTGGACAAGGGGCTGGTGCTGATCGCAGATGAGGTGCACCAGGAGAACGTGTGCGCACCCCATTCCCTGTACCATACTTCATACCCCATGTCCTGTGCCTTGTGCCTCGTACCCCACTCCTGGCAGGTGCTAGAGGAGGCGGATCAGCAGGCGATAGTGCGCTTCTGTGTGGACAAGGGGTTGGTGCTGATCGCAGATGAGGTGTACCAGGAGAACGTCTACGCACCCGACCGCAAGTTCCTGTCCTTCAAGAAGGTCGCGAGGGACATGGGCGTTGGTGCTTCTGACCTTGCGCTAATCTCCTGCCACTCCTCCTCCAAAGGTAAGCACCTAGGCGTCTAGTTGCTGGCTTCGCTGCTCAGGATATGGTTCAGGCTGAAGCCAGTTGTTCACGAATCTGAAGTGACATAAATTCCTTGCCTTGCCTTGAGGTCAACTCAAAAGGCTGCTCGTTGTGCCAGGTAACGCCTCAGGAGATGGTTCAGGCTGAAGCCAGTTGCTCACGAATCTGAAGTGACATAAGTTCCTTGCCTTGCCGTGCCTGTGTGTATGCAGGGTTCTACGGCGAGTGTGGCAGAAGAGGAGGCTACATGGAGGTTACAGGTAACTGGGACTATCTGTCTGATGTGGCCTTTGGTAACCCATTTTTTATGCGCGGCAACTTGTCTGTGCTCGCACTTCCTGTTGCATGCATGCAAGCATGCTACATCACTCCTCATCTGACTTTTTCCTGTTGCATGCATGCTACATGGCTTTGGATCGCAAGCATGAGATTAGAGCATTCACGGTGAGGTACCCTTGAACGTCCCTTGCGATATGCATCTGCGTCACCAAAGCAACCCCATGCATGCACCCATGCAGGTCTGCCCTCGGAGGTGTGGGAAGCCATGTACAAGATGGCATCCGTGAATCTTTGCTCCAACATGTCCTGACCGTCCCTTGCTACGTGCTCTTGCCTCGCCAAAGAAACTCTACGCCTTGTTGCCCATGCAGGTCTGCCCTCTGAGGTGCGCGAGGCCATGTACAAGATGGCATCCGTGAATCTTTGCTCCAACGTACCGGGACAGATCCTCATGTCACTCATTGCGTCTCCACCTCAGGCAAGTTTCTCTTAATTGTGATTCTCTACTGTATTTCTCTCCACATTCTGCAATATTCCAGGCAGCAGTTGATATTGTTTCTTGCCATGCTTGGAAAGAGTGCCGTTAATGCACTGTTCAGGGTCAACTTGGGTTCATAGCATGTCGTCACTTCATGATTGCGTCTGTGCATGTGGATGGCTGTGGTCGTGTGTGTTGTGGGTGTGCAATGGTGGGATGCTGTGGGGCATGTACTTACATACGTTGTATGCTTGCAGGAGGGGGACGATGCCTTTCCTGTCTTCGCTGCGGAGAGAGATGCCATCCTCTCCTCACTCGCTCGTCGAGCCAAGGTCTGTCCCACAGTCCACATCTTGACTGTTGCACTTTGCAAACAATGCCAGCTCCACTTCCACGAATTTTTATTGCCTCTCGTTCATGTCCTCACTGCCCACCACTCAAGCAGGCCTTCTCTTATGCCATTCCGAGGGTGCTATGTATGTCTTCCCAGACTGCCTTTCTTTTCACCTCTCGTCCATGCAATCCTGTCCTTCTTCCAACCCGACCCCAATATGCCAGCTGCTAGTTGATGTGCTCAACTCACTACCAGGCATCACCTGCAACCCCTCTGAAGGCGCCATGTACGCCTTCCCCAGGCTGCACCTCCCCCCCCGAGCAGTGGAAGCAGCAGCAGCAGTGGGCATGCTAGCAGACACTTTCTACGCGCGCCGATTGCTCGATGCCACAGGGATTGTTGTGGTACCGGGATCGGGATTCGGGCAGGAGCCTGGGACATGGCACGTGCGGTTCACGATCTTGCCAAGTGAAGATAAGATCTCGGGAATGATGGAGCGGTTTGCTGAGTTCCATGATAGATTCATGCGGGAGTTCACTGTTTGAGGTGTAGTGCAATTGGAAAGAACGGTTCTAGTCAGTGCACTGTTATGGCAAAATCTCGGATATGGGTGTATGATCATCTTCACAGTTTCCGTGTTCGTGAGTCGTGTAAAGCATCGCTCTTGCACCATCACATCCCACAAATTGTTTGATGGAGGTTTACCAATAACGTAGCTGCCCACTTGTATAGTTTGTGACTGAGGAAATCTGTATCGAGGACAGATATTTTCATTCTTTGCAGCGGCCCCGCCTATGCAGACAGACGATAGCTAAGGCAATCGAGCATCTGGCTTTCTGTCTACGGCCTGAATGCTTGTTGCAAGCACTCGCGTCTCATAAACAGCCGTTTCTTTTTCGTCAGTGGAATAACCACATGCGCACGCGTTTGTCTGCTACGAACGCCATCTCTAGGGTCGCCTTGTGACGCTCTGGTAGTTCTAACATCCGTGTGACCGTCTGCCGCTTACTGCCATCATGGCATGCTGCGAGATTCGCTGGAATTCACAACCTCTTGGGCTCGGCTTGAGGGCGACGAGAAGGATGGTTCAGAAGAACGTAGTAGCGTTACCCCTCGCTAATCGTTTTACAGAGGCATGTAAAGAAAGTGCTTTTCTTCTGCTGCTTGCGTGCTACACCTCCGGTCGTTCATGTTTAGGTATTTTCTTTGTTGCCTCAGTCAACAGACCACTGTGAGTTGACGGTTCTCGTGCTACTTCATCCGCGGTTGCTCGTGTGTGCTCCAGAACGAGCGGATGCGAAAGTTAGCAACACGTTCTGCCTCGTCGGACGAGTGGAGTTTCACGCGACCAGACGAGGCTGACAGGTCAAGAGAATTTGCAGCAAGACTTGAGCAAGCCTGGAGCATAAGAAAGGTGCATTCTTCTGCTTTCGCTGACACATGCATGTCAACTTTATTTACTTACGTACCCCTGTCTCTTCTGCATACCCCTGTAGCAATAGCATTCTGACTGACGCTCTCCACTTTGTTGACTATCCTGGCTCTCTTCCATCTCTGGTTTTTTTTAATGAGCAGAACCAGGGTCCTGTCGCATGCGAGGAGTGCATGGCTCAGGGCTGTATCGAGTGCAAGTGGTGCCGTGGGACTGGCTATTTTATTGTGGGAGACAGTCTGCTATGCTCGGTATCCTCACGGAGCAGTACTTGCGTAATCTGCGGCGGGAAGGTGAGTCTACTCTTTGAAAGAGCACTGTGAGAAGGAACCTACTCATTGTCTCTTTTTTGGATGAGGAATTATCCGTTCGTTTTCCTTCAGTTGTTGGGGATGGTCGTTCTAATATGTATCTTTTGTGGCACACTTATGCAGGGTACTGTCCGTTGCCTTGACTGTGCTGGTACTGGTTTCAGAGCTCGTTGGCTCAAAAGACCTACCCCAGGGAAACAACCGTCAGGTTGAACATTTTTGTTCTCTTCCTGGCAAAGTGGTTCGAGATGTTGGCCAGGTTGGCACCTAAGGGGTCTGATGCGATCATTTGCATCAGTTTCATTGTTTAGTTTGATTCGAGGGGCTTTTGATTTTTGTGCCCCACACCATGTACATAGATGACATAGAAATGCCAAGAATCTATAGATGGCTTGTAACATTATTGCTCCCAATACTTTCGCCATTAGTTCTGAAATACTTGTTACCTTCGCCAAGCATTCAGGCATCCAGAAAGGTCCGCTTGGCTGGCTCAACGATTCGATTCTTTCCGCGTTCTTTCTAACGGAGTTGATTGTGACGATTGCATGCCGCTAACGTTTTCCGTCATCTTACCCCGTTCTTGGCAAGGTTGGTTGGGTTGTCATGCTGCAACCCCTCCCCCCCTTCTTGCCTCAAAACCACTCATTTCCTTGTTACCACCTACCCCGCTCAACTCCTCTCCTACAGCCCTAAAACTGCTTCCTGCTACTTTCTAGCCTCGGAACCTAGCATGGTGCTATGAGGTTGCTCTAACACGGTTCTAGGGCTGTCCGACTGTGGTGCAGACCTGTTTAGTGTGTCGTGTCGGTAGCACAGGCCGATATTTAGATTGGTCTGGTGGTGAATAAGCTTTTTGTTTTGGCTGGCGGAACTATGGAGCGATATGAGATCCTCAAGGATATTGGGTCGGGAAATTTCGGGATTGCGAAGTTAATGCGAGATAAGAGAACTAAGGAGATGGTGGCGGTGAAGTTCATTGAGCGTGGCGACAAGGCACGTGCATATTCGTTGCGTCCCATTTTCCTCCAACCGAGCTGGAATCGCGCTCTTTGTTTTGGTGGACGAGTCTTTGATTTTTCCAAAAGGGTTGCTTTATGTTCGCAGATCGACGAGAATGTTCAGCGTGAAATCATTAACCATCGCTCCCTTAGGCATCCTAACATCATCCGATTCCGTGAGGTTCGTCGCTCATCTTCCATTTGCTCCTCGTCTGCTTTAGGTTCCTCGTGTGGTTGTGCAGCTAGTGACCGTTGGGTTTTGTTTTTGTTGTTATTTTCCAGGTTTGCCTCACTCCGCAGCATTTGGCCATTATAATGGAATATGCGGCCGGTGGTGAGCTATTCGAGCGAATCTGCAACGCTGGTCGTTTCAGCGAAGACGAGGTACGTGTTGCACGCATTTGTGTCATCCGTCTTCCTTCTCACTGGCGCTTGGGTTGCAGTTGTTGACGCATTCTGTTCTGTCTTTCAGGCTCGATTTTTCTTTCAACAATTGGTCGCTGGCATCAGCTATTGTCACTCCATGGTAAGAATAACCCGCGTCATCTGTCTTGCATAGATTAACGGTCGCATACTAATTTATGAACCCTTCTCGTTTGCAGCAAATCTGCCATCGCGATCTGAAGCTTGAAAACACTCTTTTGGATGGAAGTCCTGCACCCCGTCTGAAAATTTGCGATTTCGGTTACTCAAAGGTACAGTGTGGAATAGAGGCTGGAGATGTAGCATTGTGAACCGGCACTAAGTATCCGCTCTTTCTACTTTTCAGTCCTCCCTGCTTCATTCACAACCGAAATCCACCGTGGGCACTCCAGCCTACATTGCACCTGAAGTTCTCTCAAAGAAGGAGTATGATGGAAAGGTAAGTAAGTTTTGACTGAATTTTGCAAAAGCGTCACGTAATGCTTCTTTCCTCGTCTGACTAAAGTGTTTCCATGTGGCAGACTGCTGACGTGTGGTCTTGTGGAGTCACACTATACGTCATGCTTGTAGGGGCTTATCCCTTTGAGGACCCTGATGACCCACGAAACTTCAGGAAAACCATTGGTGTATGTTTACATTGCCTCTTTTCTGCTGTTTCAGCTCCTTCCCCACGCCCACAGCATTCATGACTGTCTGCTTCTTCTGTTGCCATGCTTACAGCGCATCATGAGTGTCCAGTATCACGTTCCACCGTATGTGCGCCTCTCTCCGGAATGCAAGCACCTCTTGTCAAGAATCTTCACAGCAAACCCTACAAAGGTGAGTTTTAGTATTTAGCTGGGAGGTAGCCTTGGTTGTTCACAAATAGATTGAACTCTCACCGTCCTGTATCCCCTCACTCCCCCCCTTCCTCCCCCTTGTCGGCAGCGCATCACAATGCCGGAAATCAAGAGGCACCCTTGGTTCTTGCGGAACCTGCCAGCAGATCTGATGCATGAAAATGACCCGGGTTACCAGTACGATGATCCTAACCACCCGCCTCAAAGCATCGAGGAGATCATGAGGATATTGCAGGAAGCTCGGGTTCCAGGCATTGCTCAGCCTTCTGGCGATGGTTACCTCAACGATGACAGGGATGACGAGAGAGATGATGAGGACATGGACAATGACATGGATGACTTCGAGGGCAGTGGAGAGTTTGTCAATGCTCTTTAAGAGACTTGGGTCCTTTTATTCCATTTACATGGCTGCACAGCATGAGGTGGCTGGTGAATTGTTGCTCCTTGTGTGTTGCAGTTCACTTGCTAGTTCTAGTACAAATTTTAGTTTGACTCTGGCCGTTAGTTTCTTGTGCCAGCTTGCAGTAAGACATTGCTGACAACAGACTGATGTACAGGTGGATGGAATAACCTTTATTAAGAAGCGGCCAAGAAACAGGGTTTGTGGGGCACTTGAAAAGCACAATGCACAGCGTATAAACAGTGAGCAATTATGCGCACAGTTCAGCCACCCCCACTGGAGGTTTTTAACTGAATGGCTGCTAGTTCCTCCTCCACAAACTCTCCAGCAGGCTTGGGTGGAAAGCTAGATGCCAGTTTGCTAGCGGCGAAGTGCCAAATGGGCGTGAGGATCTCATCTGATGCTATGTGTGCAAAAACCTGCGCAAAAAAGACAGCCATAATGAGAAAGATCAGGCAAACCTGCTGCAAGAAAATCATTTTCTTCCCCAGCGTCATCAGCTTCTCCCTTCCAACTTTCGAACCTCCAGACCATACCTGCTGCGTAAACTCCAAATCACAATGCACTGGGTAATGGTCCTTCCTCCCACGTACCGTACTGGAGACTCGCCAGAGGCTGCGTCCCTGCTGCTGTGCTCTCTGCACCGCCGCCACTGTGCCCTCATCCACCACCACCTCATGCATTCCCGCCGGCACCTCTCCTCCCGTCAGCCATTCCATCTGCCAAGTTACACATGCACACACGTGCCACACCAGGAGGATGATGAAAGGAGGTTGTTCAACAATCTCGTCATGTTACCAGGAGAGCAGCAGCAGAACTCATCACATACACACAATGCAGTTGCTGGTGCTAATCGTAGTGCCACACAAGCAGGACTTGAGGGACCAGATGTCTCAAAGCTGTCATATCACATCAGAAACAGTGCAGACCACAGTCCCCTGCACCCACCTGTTTCCCTGCTTGAAGCAGCAGGCAGCCGTCAGGCACCGAGACACGGCAGCAGGTGCCATCCCTCAGCCAGATACGTAGGCCGGGGAATCTGCACCGTCCGTGGATGGTGAGGAAGTTGAGATCTGCATGGTACCCCGCCAGGACTGTTCCAGGGGAGCCGTGCTCTCCCAGGTCGCTGCCTGTGGGGGCCAGCAGGTGTGGACCCTGGGGGGAGGGGTGGAGAAGGGATGGAGAACGGATAAATCATGAGTCAACTCAACAGTGGATGGTGAGGAAGCTGCATCTGCATGATACCCCCCGCCAGGACCGTTTCAGGTGAGCCGTGCTCTCCCAGGTCACTGCCTGTAGGGGCCAGCAGGTGTGGGCCCTGCGGAGGGATGGAAAAGGGGTGCCCTTTGAGAAGAAAGCAGCAGGACAGAAGGATGGTGGGATGATAGTGGGGAAATGGGCCAGGGAAGTTGTGGAGTTGGCAAGTGAGAAGAGGGGATTGGGGCGACGGGGAGAGGGGGATGACGCAGCGTCGGTGCAACGGGAGAGAAAGGAATGGTTGAAGAGGGAAGTGACGCGGGGAGATATGGGGGGGGGGGGAGGCAATGGTGGGCGGAGAGATGGAGCTGCAATGTGCACGTTGTTCGTACCATGTGCATGCGGGAGGTGAAAGAGTCCTGTGGAAGATCAAATCCGATTGCCAGCATCTCCGCCACTGCCTGCAGATACACACACACATGCCTCCCATGTCAACACGTGGCAATCTCTAAGTCAGATATGTATACTACAGAGCAGCAAACTCGACTGGAAAAATGCTGCAAACTGCAAACCAATCCTGCTCCTTCTGGCCCATTCTCCCCTCCCCATTCAATTTTGCTGGCCCTCCCCCCTCTCCTTCGCTTCACCTCTCTCTCTCCACCTCGCCCGTCATTCTCACCTCCACGGCAGCAGTCATCTTGCATCCCCACCCATCCAACACCGAAGCCCACTGAGGGAACCCCTCCGGCACCACTGGACTCGCGTTCAGCTCCTGTTACACGCACATCCGATGTAGGCACATCAGATATAAGAACATCGAATACAAGCGCATCACATTCAAAAAAGGTGCAAACATGGGATGTCAAATGGGAGGCGCGGAGGCAGCAGCTATCCGCGTATCTGGTATCTGGTGCGCGCGGGACGACTTCTAAGGCGCTTGCATAAGCCAGCCCTCACCTGATATCTGGTTTTGAGACGTCTCAAAATTCACCTGATATCTGGTGCGCGCGGGGCGGGGCCCGACGCGCCACATGAAGCGCCACTTGCAGTCGGGGCCGGAGGGCGCGTGGGGGCGGCTGTCCGCGGGGAGCTGCGCCATCCGCGCCTTCACCGCGTCGTCCAGCGCGCTCTGCGGCATCTCCACGCCCTCGGGGGTCACTCCCACCTGCTCGGGCGCGGAAGAGAGCGCGGGAGAGGCCGCGGGAGAGGGCGCGGGAGTGGGCGGGGGAAGGGGAGGAAGGGGGCTCGGGGCGGGGAGGTGAGGATTGGGAGCGGAGGTGCGGGTAAGGCGGGCACACGGAAAACAGAGCGCAGATAGACGCGGCTGTCGCGGGGAGTTGCGTCATGCGCGCCTTCACCGCCTCGTCCAGCGCACTCTGCGGCATCTCCAAGCCCTCGGGGGTCACTCCCACCTGCGCGGGTTCGGGTCAGCGGAATAGCACCCCTTGGCAAGGCGAAGTGGCACCTTGTCGGCGAAGGCAAAATACTAACACCGCTTTGGACCGACAAATAGATTGCACAAGCCTTATCAGTCGTACCTGATAGTGCAGTTCCGGGCGCGAGTGCGCGAGCTTGGTCGTCTTGGGTTGCGCGAAGTACGACTCCATCATGTCCAGGAACCGGTCGTTGTCCGCCTGCGCGCACCGCGGGTCGCGCACGATCAGCGCGCTCGTTGCGCGCAAGCACTCCGCCATCGCCCGGCAGGTTTCCGCCACGGACGCGGGCAGCGCCGCGGCGGCCGTCTGCCCTACGGCATTTTCCGCTTGCTCGGGCCGTACAGCCTCTTTCAGCTGCAGAAACTCCGTCAAATCGAACGGCTGAAGGGACGCCATATGGGCCGATAGACGGACAGAAGAAGCAGTAGCGGCGTGCTCGACGCAACGCTTGTTCAGTAGGATGCACTAGCCGACGCCGCAGCCTTTGTGTGCTGATACTGACTCCCTTTTCACGCTCCGATAGATTAACTGGCTTGGGTCAATCCCGCGGCTCTGTTTCGCCACAGAGAGGCTGCACGAGGGTCGCTCCCAGAATGCGAGGGCAAATGCGGTCCTTGGATTCTGAAAGCAAAGACGGACGCTCAGATGCGATTGTAAGAGTGATATTTACAGGTATAGTGGAACCCGCTTAGCCGTGAGCTAGAATGACGGCCGGTAGGGAACCTGGAAGTGTCAAGGAGAGCGAAAAAAGCGGCGCTTGAATGCGTCTGAGAAAGCGGGAAATACGGGTCAGCCTCACAACAAAACATCAGCCTCCGAACTTGTTGCCTCCATGGCGGACGGAAATCCTTTTCCCGAATGCGCTAGAGAGCTTTCGTTTGGCGTTTGGCTCGGTTTGGCGGAAAAAATGGAGAATCTCCTGTGGCGCTTGGTTTGAACTTAGATTCGAATGCTCAAACTTTGCCATTCGTTAGAGGGTGCCTCGCTCAGGGTAGAAGCTCGGTTCGGTGTTAGCGTGAAGGTGACGACCGTCTGGAGCCTGCAAAAACACTTTCAATTCCATTTGAGCCGCTTGTGTAGAGGTGTTGTACTGGTGTCGGATGCGACTGTACTGGTTTTTCGTCAAGATGGTTACCTGTCAGTTCATAATCCCCACCATTTTTTGCCAAATAGATAGTTTTCGCTTGGTATGTGCAGAATGAATCCTCATGTCATATTCGGATCGGCTGACCGCTGCAACCAAGCCTGGAATGGCTGCTGGAATGACTAAAAGTGGTTCACCGTATCTAGGAGGCGACAAATCCGGATAAGAAAGTAGTTTTTTCATACTCCGCTATCGTGCTCTGCTGCATGCACGGATAAGTTTTCCGCATCTCGCTCTAGTGCGCATACGCATTAGCCAAAGAATCGGAGTTCCTGAATGCGACGATATTGAGGTTCGCATGTCCTTTCCTGTCGTCAAGGCCAAACGACCTCGAATTGCAGGCGACGGAATGGCCTTTTTGCAATCTGGATACCCCGCGCTGGGGCTCGATTCTTCCGCGGCTCGCGCCATCTCGACATCATGGTGGAATCTGGACCGTTCATTGAGCGCTCTGATCGAGGGAATCAACGGCCGGATTAGCAGCAGAGCATACAGCGCGACGGAAGGCGACGGAAGCAGCGAGAATGACGTCTCAATGGGGGGATTCGCGTGGAATGCGGGAGGGGGCAGGCGCAGGGCCGTGAGGTTCTGGCGGAATGGCGAGAGGCGGAAGGATCTGGCAGCGCTGTGCCGACGAGGCATGGGGCAAGTGACGCTTGATTACGTCAGCGGGTGCTTGAAGGTGGGTGGGAGTGTCAGTGTAGGTCAATGCCTGCTGCTTTCAACTGTCGTGATCGGAATCTTTTGCGTCGAAAAATTTAGCTCCAATGTCTCCTGTTCGGACCTATTACTGTATCCTCTGTTATCCCCTGCTCTTCCCTGCTCTTCTCACTTCATCTTGTCACTTAAGAATCTCCGTTTCCCTCTCCCACGGCGCTGTTTGTACAGAGAAGTTTCCAGGAAACTGCTGTGTCCCGATTTCAAAGAGCCATCCAGGAAGCATCAAGTCTTGGGGAAGGGGGCGGAAGGGCAGGGAATGGAGCAGGACGGGGGACAAAGAAGGGGGGTAAGAAGCACCGGCAGAATGAAGCTGCCAGGAAATTACTTGTCGCTTTGAACGAGCTCTGTGCAGTGAAGTATGCGTTCACGCTTGTGCTTGCTGACGTGGCAACTGAGGTGGCACGATGCCATGCCAAGTATGGTGTAGTTGGGGACACGTGGGGTCATCCGTGGAGTGAGGTGGACGGGGCAGAGGAGGAGGAGGAGGGGGAGGAGCAGGGGGAAGGGGAAGGGGAGGATGAGGGAAACGAACAGGAGGAAAGTGGGGAGGACGGTGGGGAGGGAGAAGAGGAGGAGTGGGAGGAGTGGGGAGGCGTAGAGGGAGGTGCAGTGGAGGAGTTGAGGGAGAGCATGCAAGCCATGCTGGTCAACGCCACACCCCCACAGCTGTACGGTGAGTGCGGTGCAGTGCGGTGTCAGGAATGACTGGGAGTTGGTCACTAGGGACCATGGTGGGACCAGCATTGCACTCATAGACCTTGACTCACACAGTCACACTGCAGTTGCATAGCATGTGTGTGACTTTTGAGGCGCCTCATAAATTGCACTCATAGGCCTTGAATCACACAGTCACACCGCAGTTGCATAGCACGTGTGCATTGCCCGAATGCCCTTACATGGACGCATACCCACCTGCACACCTATTCACCCTTTTGCACGCCTTCCAACCTGCACGCATTCCCAGCTGCACACGTTTTATCCACCTTTTTCACGTCTCCCGGAGGCACATTCTTCCCTGCACTGCACGCACATGTATGTATGGCAGGGCTGTTGCACATGTATTCACCCTTCTGCACACCTTCCCACCTGCACGCATTCTTCCCTGCACTGCACGCACATGTATGTATGGCAGGGCTGTTGCACATGTATTCACCCTTCTGCACACCTTCCCACCTGCACGCATTCTTCCCTGCACTGCACGCACATGTATGTATGGCAGGGCTGTTGCACATGTATTCACCCTTCTGCACACCTTCCCACCTGCACGCATTCTTCCCTGCACTGCACGCACATGTATGTATGTATGGCAGGGCTGCTGCAGAAGTTCTTGTTGTCCCGCTTCAAGGAGGCTTCTGAGTGCATGCGCCCATTTTATAGCGAGGATGATGACGAGGAGGAGGAGGAAGAAGAGGAGGAGGATGAGGAAGATGAATGGGAGGAAGGAGAGGAGGAGGAGGACGGTGAGGGGGAGGAGGTGGAGGCAGGGTATCTAGAGGAATCAGTAGGGAAGTTACAGTCAACCCCACTGGGAACATCTAGCACTCCTGTAGCCGCCACAGCCAGTGCAGGTGGGGAGAGGTATCACCAGCACCCAGGAGAAAGAGTCACACCTTTACTGAACGCTGAGAGTCCGATTCTGCACGGGACCTTTCCTGGGTATCGGGAAGAGGAGGCGGGGAGTGAGGGCAAGGGGAGGGGGCCGAGGAGACGATTGGAGGATGAAATGGCTGCGCTTGAAACGAGGGGGGGGCGAGCAGAGGGGGAAGCGGGAGAGGGAGACAGAGGAGAGGCGCCAGAAGCAATGGCAGTGAGCTGAGCGGCAGTGAGTAGAGCGGAGCAGGAGATGCTTGCAGCGGTGCTGGATGGCTTGCTGGGCGCTGCTGCTGGCATTGTTGGGAGAGAGAGGGATGGGTACAGAGAGGGAGGGCGAGAGAGCCTAGAAGGCAATGGGGCTGAGGGAGAAAGGGAGGAGGGTGGGGGCGGGGAGGGCGCAGCTTACGGGGACGGTGGGGGCTATGGGGAGGGGGAAAAGACAGACTCGCCTGTGTGCTGGGCGGGGAGGTTGGAGGAGAGGGTGGGGCGGGCATGGGTGTGGCAGGTGCAGCAGGTGATGCGGGCTCTGGGGTTCTCAGGGCTGTTGTTCCTGGCTCATGCCGTGCTGTCTGCTGTGCTGCTAGCCCGGCTCAAGGCGCACGTGCATGCATCCGCAGGAGCCGTTTTCGACCGTCGGATCCTCCCGCGCCTGCATCGGTGGCTGCAGGTCACTGCCCTGCCCTTCGTTACTATCACCACCTGCACAGTCACCACCAATAGGACTGGCACCACCGATGTTAACAACACCACCATTGGTGGCACCAGCAGAGTTTCTGCCCCCGCCGTCATCTCCAGCCGTGGATCTCGTGTGTCTGATCAGATCTCAGCCACACATCTGCGGCAGTGGCATGCCTGGTTGCGCCACGTGGCGGGCAGTGAGCTGTGTGCGGTGCGCACAGGGCAGCTATTTGACATCATAGTCGATTACCCGGACTCCACCCCTGCCCTCCTAGACCTTAAAGACTGCCTCGAGAATGGCGGTGCTGCTGCCGCTGCTGATGCCACTGCTGGTGCCACTGCTGGTGCTGCTGCTGCTGGTGTTGGTGACTCTGGCTTCAGTGCTGCTGCTGGTGTAGAGGGTTTCGGGACTGCTGCTCTTGCGGCTGCCGCTCCACCTCTGGTTGCTCTCGTGGCCGCACAAGGAGGGAGCAGTCTGAGTGGTGTGAGTGGTGTGAGCGGTGTGAGTGGTGTGAGTGGTGTGAGTGGTGTGCGAGGATCAATGGGAGGGGAGGGGTTGGGCATGGGAGGGGAAAGCAGCATTGTTGGGGGGAATGTGTATGGGAGGCTGGTCGCATCGTTTCGGACCGCACTGGCCAATCGGCTGCTGACAGCTGGCGCGTCGACGGCGGATATCCTGCAGCAGTATGTGTCGGCTATTCGAGCCCTGCGGCTGGTAGATCCGTCAGGGGTGGTGCTGGAGGCGGTCAGTGAGCCCATTCGACAGTACCTGCGAGGCAGAAAGTGAGTTGTGCGTGTAGGGTGTGGAGGGGTTTGAGTGCCTGGAAGGGATTGTACTGAAGGTGCGCTCTGCGGCTGGTGGACCCGTGAGGGGTGGTGCTGGAGGCAGTCAGTGAGCCCATTCGACAGTACCTGCGAGGCAGAAAGTGTTGTGCTAGTAGGGGAGAAGGTGATGGCTGAGATTGTGCTTGAGCTGAATTTTGCATTAAGAACTGTGCTCCAATGTGCTCCTATTTGCACTGAGGCTGGTGATCCCTTTGGGAGTGGTGCCGGAGGCAGTCAGTGAGCCCATTCGTCAGTACCTGCAGGGCAGAAAGTGAGTGCTGCTGTGCATGAGAATTCCAGGAACGTATGTTTGTGCTGAGTTGTGCCTCCAAAGGTGTGTTCTGCGGCTGGTGGACCCGTCGAGGGTGGTGGTGCTGGAGGCAGTCAGTGAGCCCATCCGATTCGCCAGTACCTGCGAGGCAGAAAGTGAGTGCTGCTGTGCTGGGAAGGGGAAAGGTGATGGCTTGTGGCAGTACGATTGGGCTGACTTGTGCCACCACAGGTGTGCTCTGCGGTGCGGCTGCTGCACCTGCCAGGGGTGAGTCCGGAGGCAGTCAGTGAGCCCATCCGATCCGACAGTACCTGCAGGGGAGAAATTGAGTGAGTAGCTGGGGAGATGGGTGCCGTGCCTGCGTGGAGTGCCTGCGTTGTGAGTCTACTACAGGTCTGCCTGTGAGTCTACCCTGCGGCGTTTGAGAATTCTCAAAAGTCGCACCAATATGGCTGGTGGTGGATCCGTCGTGAGTGGTGCTGGAGGTCATTTGTTTTTTTTCTAGTAATCTCAATCGTGCCTTATTTCCCTTCTCAACCACACGGAAATGCAGGGACACCATTCGTTGCATCATGACCCTGCTGACTCAGCATCCGTCTGCAGCGCCAGGTGGCGCCATCAAGAGTGCTGCTGACGTGGCAGATGACGTGGCAGGGGAGGCGGGTGACCCGGGTGACCTGTCGCTGCTGGAGGAGCTAAGCCGGGCGGCGGAAGGGGGCAAGGGGGAGGCAGGGGGGAGTGGGGAAGGGGAGGAGGAAGGGGCAGGTTTGGGAGAAGATCTGGCTGCAGCTTATGCTGCTGTCGAGCGGTGAGTCATGGTGCTGTGCTGTGAGCAGCGGTTCTGAGTGGTGAGGCTGCTTGGGGGAAGATCTGGATGCGGCATATGCTGCTGCTGAGTGGTGAGTGGTGGGGGTGGCGGTGCTAGTGATTCTAGAGATGCCTCTATCTAACCGCTTTGTGGGGGTGAGCTTGCCCACATGCTTTCCTAGCTGGCAGAGGGGAAGATCTGGATGCTTTCCTCACTTCCGCCCCTCCTCCCACAGCTGGCAGCCAGACCCCATCGATCCAGACCCCTGGCAGCCGTCAGGGCAGGCGCAGAGGGCGCGAGCCCTAGTGCTGCTGGCGCAGGTGTCCGGTTGGGTTGGGTTGGGTCCAGTTAGGGTAGGCGTAGGCGTCACCTGATCAGGCACCCATGCTCTGCACTCTCCCTTTCTCTCCCATGATTGCACAGCCGGTATAATGCTGCTTACCGAAGCGCCTTCTCCCTACGGGGGGTTGGTTTCCTCCGGGGATCTCCTTAAAGCCCAAAAAAAAAAAAAAAAAAAAAAAATCTCTCCCATGATCCTTTCCTTCGTTCCTTCAGCTGGCAGCCTGATCCCATCGACGCAGGCGCATGGGGCGAGGGACATAGTGCGCGTGCTGGCAGGGGTGTTTAGTTGGGGTAGGCGTCACCTGATCCGGCACCCATTCGTTGCACTCGCCCTTTCCCTCCCTCCTTCCGCCCCTCCCCGCCCGCAGCTGGCAGCCAGACCCCATCGATGCAGACCCCTGGCAGTCGTCAGGGCAGGCGCAGAGGGCGAGGGATATAGTGCGCGTGCTGGCGGGGGTGTTCGGGTCGCGGGAGGTGCTGCTGGGGGAGTATCGAGGCATGCTGGCGGAGCGGCTGGTGGGGCGAATGGGGTATGACACTGACAGGGACGTGCGCACTCTGGAGCTGCTCAAGGTGCGAGGGAGGGGCAGTGAGAAGAGCTCACAGCTTGTGTGGTATGCACCATGCAGTTGTGCTGGTGGGGCGCGCTGGGTACGACACTGACAGGGATGTGCGCACTCTGGAGCTGCTCAAGGTGCGAGGGAGAGAATCCAATTTTTGTGTGTTCAAGTCAGGGTCGAGGTGCGTGCTATGCCTCTGTGGGTTGCTCTCAAGGTGCTGCTGGGGGGGTATCGAGGCATGCTGGCGGAGCGGCTTGTTGGGCGCGCTGGGTAGGACACTGACCGGGACGTGCGGACACTTGAATTGTTGAAGGCGCGTGTGTGAATGGGAGAGAGAGTGAATGTGGTCAATGTGTAGACTATATATCTGTGCTCCAATGAAGGTGCTGCTGGGGGAGTATTGAGGCATGCTGGCGGAGCGGCTGATGGGGCGCGCTGGGTACGACACTGACCGGGACGTGCGCACTCTGGAGCTGCTCAAGGTGCGAGGGAGATGGAGTGAAATGAGAGATGCATACATTCAAGGTACATAACATGGATGTCCATTCAAAGGTTCTGCTGGTGGAGTGCCTTGACCACCTCCCACGGGAGGCGGCACTGTAAGCACATGAACAACCTCCCGCTTGCCTCTTCCCCTTTCCCCCTTCCCTTCCCCTGATCTCTCTTGCTGAGTCAAACTCGCATGCGTGAGAGGAGGTGTTGAGATAACATAAGAGACTCAAACCGCATCGAACACCACCCCACCCTGCCCACCCCCCCACCACCACTCCCTCCCCTGCATCCCCAACTCTTCCCCCTCCCAGCTCCGCTTTGGAGAATCCAATCTGCACGCGTGTGAAGTGATGTTGAGGGACATGGCGGACTCAAAGCGAATCAACGGCAACGTGAAGGCGGCCATGCGGCAAGCACGGGAGGAGGCTCGGGACTTGGCAGAGGCGCGGTCTAATATTGCTCGATCAAAAGCCATCATGCGGCGACGAGGTGGGTGAGGGTAAGGGAGGAGAGTGTAGATACGAGAGGAGTAGGTAAGGGTGGATGGGGAGGAGGGCAAAGGGTGTGTTTTGAGTCGACTCAAAAGGTGTGTTTTGAGTCGACTCAAAAGGTGTGTTTTGAGTCGACTCAAAAGGTGTGTTTTGAGTCGACTCAAAAGGTGTGTTTTGAGTCGACTCAAAACACACCTGGGTGAGGGTAAGGGAGGAGAGTGTAGATACGAGAGGAGTAGGTAAGGGTGGATGGGGAGGAGGGCAAAGGGTGGTAAAACAAGCGATGAGGCAGGCGAGGGAGAAGGAGGCTCAGGAGCTGGCGGAGGCCCGTGCGCTGGTGCCCGTGCTGCTGGTGCTTGTGCTGCTATTGTTCCTATCCACCAAATTTTCCACCTCCCCTCCGTTTCCCCCTCTTTCTCGAATGGTTTCACACTCGTGTGCAGGCCAATCAGTGGTGGGGGCAGGGAGGGGAGCAGCAACGGCACAGAGAGAAAGCAGGGGCACAGGGGGAGGTGTATCTGGGGCAGGTGTATCTGGATCGGGGGTATCTGGGTCAGGCTCATCTGCATGGTCCCAGGCACACACGCCTGAGCACCTGGTGGTGAGGGGCATGGCATCGTTCTCCACCCCTCCAGACCGACCTGGGAGAGGAGGAGAAGGGGGAGAGGGAGGGGGAGGGGGAGGGATTGTGGGAGGGGGAGGGGCGTCGCAGTGGTTCACACCAGACTCGTTTGCTTCTTCTCCTCCTGCTGCTGCAGCAGCAGCACAGGCACCCCCTGGTGAGTTCTGTGAGGTCTCTAAACAGGTGGGGGAGGGGCGTCGCAGTGGTTCACTCCAGACTCGTTTGCTTCTCCTCCTCCTGCTGCTGCAGCAGCAGCACAGGCACCCCCTGGTGAGTTTTGAGACGTCTCTGAACAGGAGGGGGAGGGGGAGGGATTGTGGGAGGGGCGCCGCAGTGGTTCACACCAGACTCGTTTGCCTCTCCTCCTCCTGCTGCTGCAGCAGCACAGGCACCCCCTGGTGAGCGAGAGTGGGGTGGGGAGGCGCAGAATGAAAGGTGTGGGGTGCCATGTGTGTGTGTTTTGATGGGTGGGTGGGTTTGTTTGTGATTAGGTGAGTGGGTGGATGGGTTTGTTGCAATTGCAACACGGAAGGTACTGGTGAGCGGGTGTGCTTCATATGGCTGTGGTAAACTCGTACCATCAACCCAGATGTCTCATACCTCCCCATGTCTTATCCCATCCCACAGCATCAACCCAGCACTTCTCCTCCTTAACACCTCTCCGTTTTCCCCTTTTCCCTTCACCTTTGCATGTAACCTTTTCCCCTTCCAATCTCCCCATTCCCCTTCGCCCTTTATGCTTTGTCCTTGTCTTGTGCCCCATTGTTCACCGTCCTCTTTTTCTTTTTGACTTTCCACCCGCTCCACCTTTTCACCTGTTGCCCCTGCTTCCCTTGCTGCCCCTCTCACCCGCACTTTCACCTGCCCAGATTCTTCAGGGGCACCTGCCCCTCCTCCCCGGGCAGCCCGCCCAAATCTTCTGTCCCGCTGGGCCCGCCTCCGCCCGGACCTCCGCACACCGACTTTTTCCGGTGACCGTTCCGCAGATCGTGGGCAGCCTGGAAATTCTGCCCGAACCCCCGGCCAATCAGGTGGCGGCAGCTCAGCAATGGGGGGAAACAGGAGCACTGGGAGAGGCGGGCAGGGGGGGTTATGGGATGTTATGGATGCACTGGGAGGGGAGGGGAGTGGGGATGAGGAGGATGAGGGGGAGATGGAAGGAGGGGAGGAGGAAGAGGAGGACGGTAAGCCGGAGGAGAAAGAGGAGTTGCTAGAAGCAGAGAATCTAGACGCCACGATCGTCTCGGCACTGTTCTGGCCGGCTTTCCAGGAGGAATCGGTGCGGTTACCAGCGCCTGTAACCAAGCTGATGGAGGAGTATTCAACCAATTATGCGACGCTGAAAGCGCCCCGTAAGCTGCAGTGGAAGGCGAACCTTGGGTGTGTTACAATTGAGCTGGAGTTTGGTAACGGGCGGAGCACTCAGCAGTACACCGTAACGCCCGTTCAGGCGGCCATTATCCTGAAATTCCAAACAGCCGGAGCAGGAGGGGGAGATAAGTGTGGGGGAAGTGCAGATGACGGTGCGGAAAACGGAGAAGTTAATAAGGAGGACGAGACGATCTGAGCTGGCGGCAGCAGTGGGCCTGTCAGTGCCGGTGCTGCGTCGGCGAATCACATTCTGGGTGAATCAGGGCGTGATTGTCGAATCGGTCGCGACCAATCGGTCTCCTCCGGAACCTCTTTTCACAGCTGTAGATTACCAAGTCGACCCTGCTTCTGCTGGTGCTGCTGGTGATGCTGGTGGGGATAGAGATGGTGATGCTGATGCCGCCGCTGCTGCTGCTGCTGGTGAGGGTGCTGGGCTGGGTGGGTTGCGAGGGGATGGAGAGGGGGAGGATATGGTAGCAGGCGGAGAGTTGCTAATCGGGGATGAGGACGAGGAGGAGGAGGGGGGAGGCATGGTGGCATCACTAGAAGCGCAGAGGAAGCAGGAGAGTGCGGTGCACGAGTCGTTCATAACAGGCATGCTCACCACGTTCGACGGCCTCCCTATAGAGCGAATCCACAACATGCTCAAGATGTTTGTGTCCGACCCGCCATATGATCGCTCACTGGCGCAGCTGCACGCGTTTCTGGGGGTGCTGGTGGCGCAGGAGAAGCTGGAGCTCAGGGATGGGCTGTACCGTAAGAAGAAATAGGTGCAGTCTAGTTCAGAGCTGTTCTCACTTAGTGTTCTAGATTCGCTTGGTACTGCTCCTGCAGCTGCTGTAGCTGCACGCCAGGGGGTTCTGGTGGAGTAGGCAACCTGGAGGTTTGGGACAGCTACAGGGTATATGATTTGCCAAAGAACATGCTATACAGACGACTGAAGCAGTTAAGGATTGCCATGCCACTAAGTACCAATATATCTTAAGTTAGGTGCCTACAGGCCTTGGTTTCTACTACCGTAGGTGATGCGCTTTGGCAGGAGGCTGTGCAGAATATACCGTAGGCAGATGATGCCTCTCCTCTCACCCTCCCCTCTAACTGATATTATGCTGTAGAGTAGACCGCATTTAAGATAATGCTTTCTATGAACATGAAACTCCACTTTCAGTGTACTACTGTATAGTGTATAACTGTTATTCGCCCTTCTCCCCTGCATCCCCTGCCTCCATCTCCTGCAGCACTCTCTCTGCCGCTGATGGTCGGCTGCTCACTGTGGCTGACGACGACGTGACCTGCAATGGCAATATCAAGAGAGGGTTTGGGGTTGGGAAAGGGGGGCGGGGATGAAAATGTGAGATCAATTTGCACTCTCTCTGCCGCTGATGGCCGGCTGCTCACTGTGGCTGATGACGACGTGACCTGCCATGGCCGTATCACAAAATGACACGGGGGGGGGGGGGGGGGGGGGGGGAGGAGGAGGTGGAGAGATGAATTTGTTGGCAGATAAAATTGTTGACTCAATTACCAACTTCATCTCCTGCAGCACTCTCTCTGCCGCTGATGGTCGGCTGCTCACTGTGGCTGGCTGACGACGACATGACATGCCATGGCCGTATCAAGAGAGGGAGAGGGAGTGGGAAACGGTGGGTACTGTAAGCCAGGCATGCCAGGAGGAAGAGGAGGGCGAGGGTGAAAGATGGTGGGGAGGAGGACTGGGCTGGTGGAAATTTTCAACAACAGACTGATCCTGGCCGGGATGCTGGCTGGCCCACTGGTCCTTCATGCGCATGACTCTCTTCTGACCTGTCGTCACTGCAGTGTCAATCTTATCCTCGTGCTTGTGTTTAGTTGACTTACCTTATTCAAATAAAAATGCCACCACTCACCGGGATGCTGGCCCATTGATCCTTCATGCGCATGACTCTCTTCTGACCTATCGTCACTGCAGTGTCAATCTTATCCTCGTGTTTGTGTTTAGTTGACTTACCTTAATTCAAATAAAATGCCACCACTGACCGGGATGCTGGCCCATTGATCCTTCATGCGCATGACTCTCTTCTGACCCGCGGAGACGGCGCTGTCAATCTTATCCTCGTGCTTCTTGATTTGCGGATACAGGAACTTCCAGTAGATGATGCTGGCACCCTGACAGTATAGCGGATAACGAGACAACACATAACGGGACACGAAATCAGGAACACAACACTAGGGAGATGGCAGACAGAGCTCGCACAAAGTGACTCTCTGGCGGCGAGTTACACGGACCGAGGAGAAGAAAGATGGGGGGTCTAAGTGAATCTTTGACGATTTCAACAATGGCACAAAAGCTAAGTGACTCTTTGGCGACACTGGACTAAGAAGAGAGTATCATCTGACCTTAGTCATTGGTAGTTGGAGCCATAGAACGAAGAGGAGCTTGAGGGAGAAGAAGATGGGAAGCCTGCACGCCACAGATGCATTCGGCAACAGTCGAATTCGGGCAAGTCCCGGTGGTGAGTGTGAGTGTGAGGGACGGAGGTCGTGCGCATAACATCAAGCAGAGTCGACATTTGAGACGTCTCAAAGATCGTGGCCAGGGAATCAATCATAGACGACAGTGGATCATCGCCAGTTCAAAGCTGAATGAAGCGAAGGAGGCAGTAGACTTTCTAGACTACGCTGAACCCGAACCTAAAACATGAAGTCGCTTCGACAGGAAGGGCGAGTGGATCGGTGAGACGGACGTGCAACGTACCAGACGAGGACCCAGTAGAAGATGGATTCGACGAAGTTAATGCACGCTCGTGAATCTCGATTCAACTGAGAAGTGACCTTGTGCGACGGACGCAATGTGAGACGGACGTGCAACGCACCAGACGAGGACCCAGTAGAATATGGACTCGACGAAGTTAATGCACGCTCGTGAATCTCGATTCAACTGAGGAGTGACCTTGTGCGGCGGACGCCATGTGCGACGGACGCAATGTGAGACGGACGTGCAACGTACCAGACGAGGACCCAGTAGAAGATGGATTCGACGAAGTTAATGCACGCTAGGACGGTCCAATACGTGAGCCATTGCGCCTTGTTGTCCGACGATTGCGAATCCAGAGCCTTGAAGCTAGCGTAGAACGGATATGCGAAGCTGAGCAGGACCCTGAAAGAACAGAGTGCGAGAACACAGGAGATCGGGAAAGACGACGGGACGGTGATCGAAGGGTAAGGCACACAGGTGAGGTAGAAGCGACTAAACGCGATGCGGAAGCTAGGCTTAGCTACAGCAGTGCGTCGTACACGAGGGGCTTGACGATGAATTCGGTGGTGAGGTGAGGCGACGCTACCACGGTGGCTACAGCGGTCGAGGCCATAGCTCTGATGACAGATACGATACGAGATGGGATCAGACGGAGCGCGCGTCGGCCATGGATCAGGATTAAGTCTGTTCACGTAATAACAAGTAAAATTCCCGCAATCTGGGAAACGAAGAGAGAAGGTTTCAGAATGTATTTTTATAGTTGGCTGGGCGTGAATCCAGATTCTAGGGATTGTCGGTAACTGGGTGGTGCCGGCACTTCGCAAGGGCATTTCGGTTACCAGTTGTCGCGCCAGAAAATGTTTCGTGCCCGAAAGTCGCATTCCACTTTTCTGCTATTATTGAGAATGACGAAGGAGTTACAGGGTATAGGTTGGTGGTGACGACACATAGCCAATTAGAAACCAGATCGCCAACAGGGATGCAGGAGAGGCACATTAGGCGAACAACCGTCACGTTGACGAGATACTCGCGAACGGTGAGCGACATTCCGGAGACGGAAATCTCAATCCCTCATCCACACTGTCCTCTCACTTTTAGTAGTAAAAGCACCACAGTCCATCAGGACCAGCGTCAGCCTGGAGATGCCGCCTCAATGAAAGCAGCAATGGATTTCGAAACATCAAGCTCGCTGCTTTCTATAGATTTTTTTTTTAGAAGAAGGACGAGATTGGTGACACTTGTCGTTCTGTTGTTAGTACTGTCGGGACGCGGGCTAGCGACTCCTCGCAGCAGGGCCGCGGTAGATGCGGAACTGCGTGATAGACAGAGGCAGGAAGGATCGGAGACGGGAGGCACGCGAAGAAGAGTGCTTGCAGCGTCCCACGTGGAAGGTGATCGTAGCGTAATGCGACGTACTATGAGAAGTAGCTAGGGAGGTATGAATTGTAGTACCAGCTAAGGGCGTATGATTGGTTTTACAAGTAAATTGTTCCTTCCTGACGTCCGACCTCCATCACCCGTTTCTAATCGCGATTCGCCAACCCCCCGTTTCAGCTTCGTCACCTAGATCATCTCTGGTCGCGCATCCTCTACCTGCCTCTTCCCAACCTTTGTTACCCTGTGCGACGCTTCAACCGTTGCTCTTCGTCATCCCCGGCCACACACCCCCTTCCTGCCTCTCCCCGACCTTCAGCTCTCTCGCGCGCGAATTGCTCTCAAGAGCAGCGCAGTGGCGACGGTAGCGATGGTGGTAACCAGCTGCCGCCGTGGAGCCCGCATGTGCCGCGAGCCGTCCTAAGGAGAGGCATCGCGCACGAAGGGGACATGCTGCGATTCGACAGGTTGCTGCACAAGGCACGTTGGGGCTGGAGGGGGTGGGGGGGGGGGGGGGGGAAGGGTGCGTTGACTCCAGTAGACTCCCCCATTGACTCCATTTGACTCCAGTGTTCTAGGAGAGAGGCATCGCGCATGAAGGGGACATGCTGCGATTCGACCGCCTGCTGCACAAGGCACGTCGGGGCTGGAGGGGGGGGAGGGGATTAGCGCGGTTGAGAGTTCCACCCTCCTATGGTAGAATTCATACCCCATGCCCAATCCCCCCCTCCCCTTAATGCATGCAGATCATAGTGCGGCGAAAGCTCATCACAGTGGTGGCTATCGGCAGCAGCTGCACGTCGGAGTCGGGGTGAGGGAAGGCGGGCTTCTCATGGCCTGCTTATGTTCCCCATTTCCCATCCCTCCCGTCCCCACGACCCATCCCTCCCGCCTCTTCCGTGCCCCCCTCCCTCGCAGATCATAGTGCGGCGAGAGCCCATCACAGTGGTGGCCATCGGCAGCAGCTGCACGTCCGAGTTGGTAGAGGGGTTTGGAGGAGGTGGAGGGGAGTTTTCTCAAGCCCGGTGCAAGTTCGTGCCTCTACCCACTTCCCCATCCCTCCCTCCCATCTCATGCAGATCATAGTGCGGCGAGAGCCCATCACAGTGGTGGCTATCGGCAGCAGCTGCACGTCTGAGTTTGGCGGCAGGAAGGGTCCGCAGCTCAAGCTGCTCAACCTCGATGCCTTTGAGTTCGGCCGGTGAGGGGGGAGATTTACTAGTGAGTTCCTTTAGGGTTAAATCTGGATGATTCTGAGTCAGAGTTTGAGGCAGTATTCAATTTCGAGTCTCAGTGTGGCGGCAGGAAGGGGCCGCAGCTCAAGCTGCTCAACCTCGACGCCTTTGAGTTCGGCCGGTGAGGGGGAGCACTCTCATTTATGTTGCTTTTTTACTCAGTTCTGAGCCTAATCCCAGGCCTGATCCCAATCCTGTTCCCAAGCCTAATCCCAGGCCTGATCCCACAAGCCTGATCCCAACCCCGATTCTGAGCGCGAACTTGATTCCGAGTCGAGACCTTCCTCATCTAAAAACCCCACCTCGTCTGTCTTCTCTTCCGTTCCCTCTGCTCTCCCCCTCTCCACTCTCTCCTCGTCCCAACCGCCCTCTTGTCTTCTCCAACGCGCCACTGCTTCTAACCCCCCCTCCATCCTCCTCCATTCCCCTTTCCCTTGTTCCTCTCACCCCACCAGAGTGGTGCATCCAGACGGCTGGCTCACAGCAGCGCTGGACTGGCTGCTAGCAGCGTTCCCACCCAGCAAACCGCACGACTTCTCCGCAACTCCGCTCCCCGACGCCGTGCCAGCGGGGGACCAAGCCCCCCAGCAGCCCTACTGGCTGCTCAACCTCGCCATTGGGGCCATTGGGCCACAGCCCTGGGGGAAGTGCCTGGGGTGAGTGCGTCGGGTGAGTGTGTGGGGTTGGGATGAGTGAATGAGGTGAGTTGAGCACCTGCAGTGACTTCTCCACTGCGCCTCTCCTTGACGCCGTGCCAGCACAGGACCAGCCCCCCCAGCAGCCCTACTGGCTGCTCAACCTCGCCATTGGGGCCATCGGTCCTCAGCCCTGGGCCAAGTGCCTGGGGTGAGTGCGGTTCGCATGTGTTGCCAGGGGTTAATGGCTAGCGGTTCAATGCAAGGGCTGCCTGCTGCCAGCATGCCTCCGAGCACTCCTTCTAGCTACCTAGCCATTGGAGCTAATAGTAATAACCCCATAGCCCAATAGCCCAATAGCCTGATAGTCCAATAGCCCAATAGCCCAATAGCCTAGTAGCCAAATAGCCTAGTAGCCCGATAGCCTAATAGCCCAATAGCCTAATAGCCTAATAACCCAATAGCCTAATAGCCCAATAGCTTAATAGCCCAACAGCCTAATAGCCCAATAGCCTAATAGCCCACCAAATAGCCTAATAGCCTAATAGCCCAATAGCCAATTGCCCAATAGCCTAATAGCCCAATAGCATAGTAGCCCAATAGCCCAAGAGCCTAGTAGCCAAAGCGCCTAGTAGCCCAATAGCCTAATAGGCCAATAGCCTAATAGCCTAATAGCCCGATAGCCCAATAGCCTAATAGCCCAATAGCCTAATAGCCTAATAGCCTAATAGCCTAATAGCCTAATAGCCCAATAGCCAATAGGCTAATAGCCTAATAGCCCAATAGCCTAATAGCCTAATAGCCCAATAGCCTAATAGCCTAATAGCCCAATAGCCTAATAGCCCAATAGCTTAATAGCCCAACAGCCTAATAGCCCAATAGCCCAATAGCCTAGTAGCCAAATAGCCCAATAGCCCAATAGCTTAATAGCCCAATAGCTCAATAGCCTAATAGCCCAATAGCTTAATAGCCCAACAGCCTAATAGCCCAATAGCCCAATAGCCTAAGAGCCTAATAGCCTAATAACCCAATAGCCTAATAGCCCAACAGCCTAATAGCCTAATAGCCCAATAGCCCAATAGCCTAATAGCCCAATAGCCTAATAGCCCAATAGCCTTATAGCGTAATAGCCCAATAGCCTAGTAGCCAAATAGCCTAATAGCCCAATAGCCTAATAGGCTAATAGCCCAATAGCCTCATGGCCCAATAGCTTAATAGCCCAACAGCCTAATAGCCCAATAGCCCAATAGCCTAATAGCCTAATAGCCGAATAGCCTAATAGTCCAATAGCCTAATAGCCCAATAGCCTAATAGCCCAATAGCCTAATAGTCGAATAGCCTAATAGCCGAATAGCCTGATAGCCCAATAGCCCAATAGTCTAATAGCTTAATAGCCCAACAGCCTAATAGCCTAATAGCCTAATAGCCTAATAGCCCAATAGCCTAATAGCCCTAATAGCCCAATAGCCTCATAGCCTAGTAGCCAGATAGCCTAGTAGCCCAATAGCCCGATAGCCTAATAGCCTAATAGCCCAATAGCCTAATAACCCAATAGCTAAATAACCCAACAGCCTTATAGCCCAATAGCCTAATAGCCCAATAGCCTAATAGCCCAATAGCCTAATAGCCCAATAGCCCAATAGCCTAAGAGCCTAATAGCCTAATAACCCAATAGCCTAATAGCCCAACAGCCTAATAGCCTAATAGCCCAATAGCCCAATAGCCTAATAGCCCAATAGCCTAATAGCCCAATAGCCTTATAGCGTAATAGCCCAATAGCCTAGTAGCCAAATAGCCTAATAGCCCAATAGCCTAATAGGCTAATAGCCCAATAGCCTCATGGCCCAATAGCTTAATAGCCCAACAGCCTAATAGCCCAATAGCCCAATAGCCTAATAGCCTAATAGCCGAATAGCCTAATAGTCCAATAGCCTAATAACCCAATAGCCTAATAGCCCAATAGCCTAATAGTCGAATAGCCTAATAGCCGAATAGCCTGATAGCCCAATAGCCCAATAGTCTAATAGCTTAATAGCCCAACAGCCTAATAGCCTAATAGCCTAATAGCCTAATAGCCCAATAGCCTAATAGCCCTAATAGCCCAATAGCCTCATAGCCTAGTAGCCAAATAGCCTAGTAGCCCAATAGCCCGATAGCCTAATAGCCTAATAGCCCAATAGCCTAATAACCCAATAGCTAAATAACCCAACAGCCTTATAGCCCAATAGCCTAATAGCCCTAGCCTAATAGCCCAATAGCCTAATAGCCCAATAGCCCAATAGCCTAAGAGCCTAATAGCCTAATAACCCAATAGCCTAATAGCCCAACAGCCTAATAGCCTAATAGCCCAATAGCCCAATAGCCTAATAGCCCAATAGCCTAATAGCCCAATAGCCTTATAGCGTAATAGCCCAATAGCCTAGTAGCCAAATAGCCTAATAGCCCAATAGCCTAATAGGCTAATAGCCCAATAGCCTCATGGCCCAATAGCTTAATAGCCCAACAGCCTAATAGCCCAATAGCCCAATAGCCTAATAGCCTAATAGCCGAATAGCCTAATAGTCCAATAGCCTAATAGCCCAATAGCCTAATAGCCCAATAGCCTAATAGTCGAATAGCCTAATAGCCGAATAGCCTGATAGCCCAATAGCCCAATAGTCTAATAGCTTAATAGCCCAACAGCCTAATAGCCTAATAGCCTAATAGCCTAATAGCCCAATAGCCTAATAGCCCTAATAGCCCAATAGCCTCATAGCCTAGTAGCCAAATAGCCTAGTAGCCCAATAGCCCGATAGCCTAATAGCCTAATAGCCCAATAGCCTAATAACCCAATAGCTAAATAACCCAACAGCCTTATAGCCCAATAGCCTAATAGCCCTAGCCTAATAGCCCAATAGCCTAATAGCCCAATAGCCCAATAGCCTAAGAGCCTAATAGCCTAATAACCCAATAGCCTAATAGCCCAACAGCCTAATAGCCTAATAGCCCAATAGCCCAATAGCCTAATAGCCCAATAGCCTAATAGCCCAATAGCCTTATAGCGTAATAGCCCAATAGCCTAGTAGCCAAATAGCCTAATAGCCCAATAGCCTAATAGGCTAATAGCCCAATAGCCTCATGGCCCAATAGCTTAATAGCCCAACAGCCTAATAGCCCAATAGCCCAATAGCCTAATAGCCTAATAGCCGAATAGCCTAATAGTCCAATAGCCTAATAGCCCAATAGCCTAATAGCCCAAAAGCCTAATAGTCGAATAGCCTAATAGCCGAATAGCCTGATAGCCCAATAGCCAAATAGTCTAATAGCTTAATAGCCTAATAGCCTAATAGCCTAATAGCCTAATAGCCTAATAGCCCAATAGCCTAATAGCCCTAATAGCCCAATAGCCTCATAGCCTAGTAGCCAAATAGCCTAGTAGCCCAATAGCCCGATAGCCTAATAGCCTAATAGCCCAATAGCCTAATAACCCAATAGCTAAATAACCCAACAGCCTTATAGCCCAATAGCCTAATAGCCCAATAGCCTAATAGCCCAATAGCCTAATAGCCCAATAGCCCAATAGCCTAATAGCTTAATAGCCCAACAGCCTAATAGCCTAATAGTCTAGTCGCCTAGTAGCCTAATAGCCTAATAGCCCAATAGCATAATAGCCCTAATAGCCTAATAGCCTAATAGCCCAATAGCCCAATAGCCTAGTAGCCAAATAGCCTAGTAGCCCAATAGCCCAATAGCCTAATAGCCTAATAACCTAAAAGCCTTTTAGCCCAATACCCTAATAGCCCAATAGCTTAATAGCCCAACAGCCAAATAGCCCAATAGCCCAATAGCCTAATAGCCTAATAGCCCAATAGCCTAATAGCCCAACAGCCTAATAGCCCAATATCCTAATAGCCCAATAGCCTAATAGCCTAATAGCCCAATAACCTAATAGCCCAATAGCTTAATAGCCCAACAACCTAATAGCCCAATAGCCTAATAGCCCAATAGCCTAATAGCCCAATAGCCCAATAGCCTAATAGCCCAATTGCCTAATAGCCTAATAGCCCAATAGCATTATAGCTTAATAGCCCAATAGCCTAACAGCCCAATAGCCCAATAGCCTAATAGCCCAATTGCCTAATAGCCTAATAGCCCAATAGCCTAGTAGCCAAATAGCCTAGTAGCCCAATAGCCTAATAGCCTAATAGCGAAATAGCCTAATAGCCTAATAGCCCAATAGCCACATAGCCCAATAGCCTAATAGCCCAACAGCCTAATAGCCCAATAGCCCAATAGCCTAATAGCCTAATAGCCCAATAGCCTAATAGCCTAATAGCCCAATAGCCCAATAGCCCAAAATCTTAATAGCCCAATGGCCTAATAACCTAATAACCCAATAGCGTAATAGCCCAATAGCCTAAAGGCCCAATAGCTTAATAGCTGAATAGCCTAATAGCCCAATAGCCTAATAGCCCAATAGCCCAATAGCCTAATAGCCTAATAGCCCAATAGCCTAATAGCCCAATAGCCCAATAGCCTCATGGCCCAATAGCTTAATAGCCCAACAGCCCAATAGCCCAATAGCCTATTAGCCTAATAGCCTAATAGCCTAATAGCCCAATAGTCTAATAGCCCAATAGCTTAATAGCCCAACAGCCTAATAGCCCAATAGCCTGATAGCCCAATAGCCGAATAGCCTAATAGCCCAATAGCCTACTAGCCGATTAGCCTAATAGCCGAATAGCCTAATAGCCCAATAGCCCAATAGCCTAATAGTTTAATAGCCCAACAGCCTAATAGCCTAATTGCCTAATAGCCCAATAGCTTAATAGGCCAATAGCTTAATAGCCCAACAGCTGAATTGCCCAATAGCCCAATAGCCTAATAGCCCAATAGCCTAATAGCCCAATAGTTTAATAGCCCAACAACCTAATAGCCCAATAGCTTAATAGCGCAACAGCCTAATAGCCCAATAACCTGATAGCCCAATAGCCTAATAGCCGAATAGCCTAATAGCCGAATAGCCTAATAGCTCAATAGCCCAATAGCCTAGTAGCCTAATAGCTTTATAGCCCAACAGCCTAATAGCCTAATATCCTGATAGCCTAATAGCCCAATAGCCTAATAGCCCAATAGCCCAATAGCCAGCCCAATAGCCTAATAGCTCAATAGCCTAATAGGCCCAATAACCCAATAGCCCAATAGTTTAATAGCCCAACAACCTAATAGCCCAATAGCTTGATAGCCCAACAGCCTAATAGCCCAATAGCCTGATAGCCCAATAGCCTAATAGCCGAATAGCCTAATTGCCGAATAGCCTAATAGCCCAATAGCCCAATAGCCTAATGTCTTAATAGCCCAACAGCGTAATAGCCTAATAGCCTAATAGCCTAATAGCCCAATAGCCTAATAGCCCAATAGCTTAATAGCCCAACAGCCTAATAGCCCAATAGCCCAATAGCCTAATAGCCTAATAGCCCAATAGCCTAATAGCCCAACAGTCTTATAGCCCAATAGCCTAATAGCCCAATAGCATAAGAGCCTAATAGCCCAATAACCTAATAGCCCAATAGCTTAATAGCCCAACAACCTAATAGCCCAATAGCCAAATAGCCCAATAGCCTAATAGCCTAATAGCCCAATAGCATTATAGCCTAATAGCCCAATAGCCTAATAGCCTAATAGCCCAATAGCCTAGTAGCCAAATAGCCTAATAGCCCAATAGCTTAATAGCCTAATAGCCAAATTGCCTGATAGCCTAATAGCCCAATAGCCTCATAGCCCAATAGCTTACTAGCCCAACAGCCTAATAGCCCAATAGCCTAATAGCGCAATAGCCTAATAGCCTAACAGCCCAATAGCCTAATAGCCTAATAGCCCAATAGCCCAATATCCCAATAGCTTAATAGCCGAATAGCCTAATAACCTAATAACCCAATAGCATAATAGCCCAATAGCCTAATAGCCCATTAGCCTAATAGCCGAATAGCCTAATAGCTGAATAGCCTAATAGCCCAATAGCCCAATAGCCTAATAGCCTAATAGCTTAATAGCCCAACAGCCTAACAGCCTAATAGCCTGATAGCCTAATAGCCCAATAGCCTATTAGCCCAAATAGCCCAATAGCCTAATAGCCCAATAGCCCAATAGCCTAGTAGTCAAATAGCCTAGTAGCCCAATAGCCCAATAGCCCAATAGCCTATTAGCTTAATAGCCTAATAGCCTAATAGTCTAATAGCCTAATAGCCCAATAGCTTAATAGCCCAACAGCCTAATAGCCCAATAGCCTGATAGCCCAATAGCCTAATAGCCTAATAGCTCAATAGCCTAATAGCCCAATAGTGTAATAGCCCAATAGCTTAACAGCCCAACAGCCTAGTAGCCGAATAGCCTAATAGCCGAATAGCCTAATATCCCAATAGCCCAATAGCCTAATAGCCTAATAGCTCAATAGCCCAACAGCCTAATAGCCTAATAGCCTAATAGCCCAATAGCCTAATAGCCCAATAGCCTTATAGCCCAATAGCTTAATAGCCCAACAGCCTAGTAGCCGAATAGCCTAATAACCCAATAGCCCAATAGTCTAATAGCCTAATAGCTTAATAGCCCAACAGCCTAATAGCCTAATAGCCTAATAGCTTAATAGCCCAATAGCCTAGTAGCCAAATAGTCTAGTAGCCCAATTTCCAATAGCCCAATAGCCTAATAGCTTAATAGCCTAGTAGCCCAATAGCCTAATAGCCCAATAGCTTAATAGCCCAACAGCCTAATAGCCCAATAGCCCAATAGCCTAATAGCCTAATAGCCCAATAGCCTAATAGCCCAACAGCCAGCCCAATAGCCCAATTGCCCAATAGCCTAATAGCCCAATAGCCTAATAGCCTAATAGCCCATTAGCCTTATAGCCTAATAGCCTAATAGCCCAATAGCTCAATAGCCTAATAGCCTAATAGCCCAATAGCCTATTAGCCGAATAGGCCAATAGCCCTAATAGCTTCATAGGGCAGCAGCTCTGGGGGAAGTGCTCTGGACCACGTCTGCTCGATGCCAGCACGCTTCATCCCTCTCCGTGTCTCTTCTCATTTCTCCCCTCGTCCACCTCCTCATCATTCTCCCCCCTCAGGAGGTAGATCTGTTAGGCCTAGTGGTGGTGGAGTGGGCGCTAGCAGCGAGCTACCCCGAGCTACTCAGTCTATTCAAGCACACCCATCCCTCCCCTTTCGTCCTTCTCCCCTTTCCCCTCTCTCCCCTATCGGCACTCTCCCCCAACCCCAGGAGCACGTACCTGGCAAAGCTCCCGAAGACCGTGGATCTGGTGGTGGTGGAGTGGGCATTAGCAGCCAGCTACCCCGAGATAGCCAGGGACATGGACACTGTGCTGCAACGCCTGCTCAAGCTCTGGCCCACACCGCCTGCCTTCCTCTTTGTGCATTTCTTCTTCTGGTGCCGGGGCAACCTCTGGTGCCGCACATGGCTGGTAAGCACTGGGAAGGTTCATGCGGCAAATGGCAGGCAGGTAAGGTCTTTCGAGGCGCCTCAAAATTCGCAAATGGCAGATCAGTTCTCCCCTTCCTCTTTGTGCATTTCTCCTTCTGGTGCCGGGGCAACCTCTGGTGCCGCACGTGGCTGGTAAGCAAGCATTCCCCCGGTTGTACCGTGCTCTTTGTAGTACCAGCCACTGAGTGCCATGCCATGGTCCTCCTTGTAACATCCCCTTTGTGCATTTCTTCTTTTGGTGCCTGGGGAACCTCTGGTGCCGCACATGGCTGGTACGCAGCAAGTGTTCTGCCATGTTGTGCTGTCTCGTTTGAGTATTCTCAAGCCACCTGGTCCTCATAACAGAAGTATTGTTTTGAGACGTCCCAAAACACTACTTCTTTCACGTCACGTGGCTATTCTCAAGCCACCTGGTCCTCATAACATCCTCTTTATGCACTTCTTCTGCTGCTGCTGCTGCCGTCACCCTAAAACCTAAACCCCATCAGACGGATCCCAAAACAGGCGTGGAGCTGCTGGAGGAGGGACCACAGCAGCCACTGACTCGTGATGACATCTCGTTGGCAGCATTGCATGCTCTCCTTAAACTCTCTCCCTTTCCCATCCCCATCTCTTCCATTCTCTGTCCATCCTTGCCCCATCAGACGGATCCCAAGACAGGGGTGGAGCTGGTGGAGGAGGGACCACAGCAGCCGCTCACTCGGGAGAACATCGGGGTGTTTTCGTTTGACTCGTTTGACCGCCGCGGCACGGGGCGAGTGACAGAGGACGACTTCCTGGTGCTCGCACGCTACTACGGCTTCCCGGCGATTTCCATGCGGAATGCGTTTTGGAACATCGCAACACAACAGGTGGGTGCGTTAGCAGCAGGTGGGTCTTAGCTTATGAGTCGACTCAGAAGGCACGGGTCGAGTGACAGAGGACGACTTCCTGGTGCTCGCACGCTACTATGGCTTCCCAGAGATCTCCACGGGATGCCTTCTGGAACCTTGCAACACAGCAGGTGGGTTGCAGCTTGCAGCAGTACAGCAGGTGGTTACTCAAAGTCACCTCCTGGTGCTCGCACGCTACTATGGCTTCCCAGCCATCTCCATGGGATGCCTTCTGGAACCTTGCGGCACGGCAGGTGGGGTTTCGAACTAGCAGCACTTTCAGAGAGGTCTGACCTGTAGGGCTTACAGCCTGGGGCGAGTGACAGAGGACGATTTCCTGGCGCTCACCGCACGCTACTATGGCTTCCCAGCCACCTCTATGCTCTCCACTATAGAGAGGCAGGCCCGGGTGCGCAGTGCGCACTTGAACCTTGGTAAGGAGACAGTAAAGGCAACCAGTCCACGAGAGTTGAACCGTTCCCCTTGTTCCCACCCACCAGGCACCGCACTTCGGCCTGCACGACCTGATAGCCATGGATGACATGGGGCTGCATCCGGGCCTGCCGCTCGCTCGCACGCGATACGCCGATGTGCTTATCCTTCCGCACCGCCATCCAAGGTACCCTTTCGGTTTGTGAGGCCCTTCAATGATTGTAAAAACTTCCGCACGCCATTCAAGTTACCACCAGGCTTCTTTCAAGTAACCACCAGAGGGCAGCCATGGAAGCATCAATGCCCAACTCTGGGCAGGAGTCGCCCAACTCTGGGCAGGAGTCGCCCAACTCTGGGCAGGAGTCGCCCAACTCTGGGCAGGAATCGCCCAACTCTGGGCAGGAGTCGCCCAACTCTGGGCAGGAGTCGCCCAACTCTGGGCAGGAGTCGCCCAAATCTGGGCAGGAGTCGCCCAAATCTGGGCAGGAGTCGCCCAACTCTGGGCAGAAGTCGCCCAACTCTGGGCAGGAGTCGCCCAACTCTGGGCAGGAGTCCCCACTCTGGGCAGGAGTCGCCCAAATCTGGGCAGGAGTCGCCCAAATCTGGGCAGGAGTCGCCCAAATCTGGGCAGGAGTCGCCCAACTCTGGGCAGGAGTCGCCCAACTCCAGAGTCAACTCCGAACCATTCCTCATCCCTCTTCTCCCTCCTCCCCATCTCCTCTCCTCCATCTGCACCGTGCCCCCATACCAGGCTTCTTTGAGCGGCAGACGGCAGGCATGAAAGCGTCCATGGAGGAGAGAGCAGCAGAGCTGGCGCTGCTCAAGGTGGTGCCATGCCAACCCCCCTCTCTCCTCCTCTCGTTCCACCCCTTTCTCCCCTCCCTCCTTCCCTCCTGCTCCATCCCCGAATGCCAGGCTTCTTTGAGCGCCAGAGGGCAGGCATGAAAGCGTCAACGGAGGAGAGAGCAGCAGAGCTGGCGCTGCTCAAGGTGCTGCCGCCACTCTTCTCGCGCTGGTTCCCCGGTGAATTCGGAGGGCAGGGCGAGCAGGTGCGTGACTACTACTGGTTCCCCTGTTTTTTTGGGCGTCGCACAACACCAGGTGCCTCTGCCCCTCTTCGCGTGCTGGTTCCCCGGGGAGTTTGGAGGGCAGGGCGAGCAGGTTCGTGACCACACTAACTGCAGCGGCTGCTGCTTTGAGAGAAAGTAGACGGTTTCTTGCTTGCATGAAAGCTTTCAAGCTTCTGTGGTGGGGACAGGCGGTGCTGTGCTACTCGTTCGAGCTGCTGGCAGGCAACGGTGCTGCCGGTGCAGGTGTCACCCTTTTGTGAACCAAAAATGCCATGTTCTAACGATGGGAACTGGGTGGGGTGTGGCATGGGCAGGTGGCGCTGTGCTATTCATACGAGTTGCTGGAGGCAACGGTGCCGCCTGTGCGGGTGTCCCCCTTTTGTGAACTAACATGTTTCAACCGTGGGAACTAGGTCGGGTGTGGTGTGGTGTGGTGTGGTGTGGTGTGGTGTGGTGTGAGCAGGTGGCGCTGTGCTACTCATACGAGCTGCTGGAGGCAACGGTGCCGACGGTGCGGGCGGTGAAAGGGTTCAATTTCACTAAAGACCCCGACTCTAAGATCCCCAAGCCGGGCTTCGCCACGTGGCAAGCAGGTGAGTGTGTCTGTTAGGGAGTTGTTTGAGGCGCCGAAAAACAGTTTCGACCTGGATCCAACAGGTAACTCGTCCTAATCTCTTCCTAATCTCCTCTAGGCTGAGCTTAGGCTAGTAGGGAATGAATAGGTAAGAAATTGTCATTCAAACCTGAGCGTACGCGCGTTTCGGCCGGTGGCCTTCATCAGCGCTCTCAGAGTTACATGAAAGAAACTACTCCTTATCTACTCCCATCTACCGTGCCCAGCACTCAACCAAGAAACAAGAGATCCAGTGCGGCTCGTCATCGCGGCTCGCTAGCTGGCTGTACAACATTTACAATGTCAAGCAAACATGCAGGTTGGTGGGACGAATTCAATCCCATCAACTCACGGGGTTGGTGTATCCCCCGTTTCTGAAACCTCGCTTTCACCAAGAGGTTGCGTACCCTCTTTGGTAAACGCCAACACACTAACATACGTGGGAGGGAAATGTGTTGCAGAGCGTGATTTTTGAGAATTCTCAAAAAACCCCCCAGCCCCAAGTCCAAAGTCCTTGGACACCTTCTTACCTTAAGGGACTGGGGGACTTCCCTTTCTTTGTGTTGTTGGCAGCTGCGAAGTAGAGCCGGCCTGTCTTGATATGTGACACTGTTGAAAATAGGCCTGAGGAAGTAGTCAGGGTACCCTCTGGCCTTCAGCCTCTCAAAGAAGAGGACTTTCCTCTCCCAAAAGGTCTTGAATGATGAGTTCCGCAGGCAGTGACGTTTCAGCTCACTTGTGATGAATCCTCTCTTACACTCCTTCGAGTGAAAAGAGGAAAAGGGAATGTACAGATACCGATTCATCGGTTTCTGAAAGCTAGCCACATCCAGAATTCTGGATTTGTGGAAGCAGGTGAGTGTGTCTGCTAGGGAGTTGTTTGAGGCACCTCAAATATAGTTGCCAGTGTGGGCAGTGAGAGGGTTGAGCTTCACCAAGGACTCTGACTCCAAGATCCTGTAGGGCTTTTTTGAGAATTCTCAAAAAAACCCTACAGCATCAAGGACCCTGACTCCAAGATCCCCAAACTGGGGTTTGCCACGTGGCACACAGGTGAGAGCGAGGATGTGTGTATGCATGGGAATATGCTTGCGCTTGTGCATGTGTTTGTATGCATGTGTGTGAGCATTTTTGAATCGGATGGGGCGTCAGGGGGTAGATGCACACTAGCTCATATCTCCTCACTCCCTGTTAACTTCCACGCTCGCCCAACCTCCCTTCTCTTTCTCCTTCCAGGAAGCTTCGCGGATTTCATATTTGACACGTCAGCACAGAACAAGCCGGCCCTCCAGCTGGACAACCCCTCAACCGCCCAAGCCCAGCTGGAGATCCGGTACCTCGTCAGCTATGAGCGAATGGGGGTGGGACACGTGGCATGCGTGGAGGGGTGTGAGTGCGAGGGCGGGGATATAGACGCCACCATCTCGCAGCAGTGGTCGGTGCCTGAGAAACGAGTCTTTGATGTGAGTCAGAGCGAGAAATGCGTTGTGAGGATCGACGTGCGGCGGGGGAAAGGAGAGAAGTTCAAGATCCTGAGTTTCACAGTCATGTTCAAACCCAAGTAGGGGTGAGTGTTAGACACATGCTGCGTGTGATCATACGGTACAGACTGATTGACGTGCGACGTTGGAAGGGGGAGAAGTTGAAGATCCTGAGTTTCACTATCATGTTCAAGCCCATGTAGGGGTGATGTACTCTTTGTGCTGGTTTTTTAGAATTCACAAAAACATGCAACAGTTGCTGACCCTCAGCAGTGTTGTTCAGCATATTCAGGCCATATTTTACCTGTTGTGTACATACATACTCATACCAGTATGTCGACATGTTCACCTGGGCTATGTGCCTGGTGGTATGGTTTCTTCCCGGAGGAATACCGAAGTTACGGAAGTGTTTCGCAGAGACAACCTTGTAAGGGAAGCACAGGTTGACAAATTGCTCAGATGACATTAAAAACTGCTCATACTACATTTGAAATGGCACAGGCCAGTGAGCATACAATGACCGTAGTAACGCTCAGCTCAATGCTTGGGTCATGCAGCAGCCGATTTGAGACGTCTCAAGACACTTTTATTATCACAAGCAGTGGGCATACCGTACAATGACCGTAGTAACGCTCAGCTCAAGGCTTGGTTCATGCAGCAGCCGTTCCTGCCTCTGCTTCCCCTGCTGCCTCGGCTGCTGCACCATCAGCACCAACCCCATCACCACCATCCTCAGCACCACCACCATCAGCATCAGCATCAGCATCAGCATCAGCACCAACATCCGCATCCTCATCACCATCTCCAGCATCAGCAGTGCACACGTTGCAGGACTTTCTGCAAGCACCTGGCGCCCCGGGAGTGCCAATCATGTACTCCTTGTTGCGCTCACACTCTCCCGTCTCCGCCCACGCCTCACAGCTGCGACGAGAGGGGGAGAAACACGAGGGGGGACATAATACAGGATGGGAGCGAGCATGAGTTGCCCTCTCTGTCAAGGCCCAATCATGTACTCCTTGTTGCGCTCACACTCTCCCGTCTCCGCCCACGCCCTCACAGCTGGAATGATGGGTGAGAGGTCAAGGGGGGAAAGCAAGAGAGTATGAGCCATTCTTTGTCAAAACCCGATCATGTACTCTTTTGTTGCGCTCGCACTCTCCACTTTCCAGCATTTCCGCCCACGCCTCACAGCTGGACAACGAGGGCAAGTACAGACCAGCGAGGGACGGTGGGAGAGAACGAGTGAGGGTTCACGAGAGCGAGAGAGAAAGCGCTGAGACATGGCAGTTCCCCGGGTGTGCCAATCATGTACTCCTTTTGAGAGTTCTCAAAAAAGCCAATCATGTACTCCTTTTGAGAATTCTCAAAAATGTCAATCATGTACTCCTTTTGAGAATTCTAAAAAATGCCAATCATGTACTCCTTTTGAGAATTCTCAAAAATGCCAATCATGTACTCCTTTTGAGAATTCTCAAAAATGCCAATCATGTACTCCTTTTGAGAATCCTCAAAAATGCCAATCATGTACTCCTTGTTGCGCTCGCACTCTCCCGTCTCCGCCCACGCCTCACAGCTGTAGAGAGGGAGAGATATTACGAAGGGGAAATTTGGGATGGAAGTGCGTGGGAGTCGCCGCTCTGTCAAGACCCACTCATGTACCCCTTTTGTTGCGCTCACACTCTCTCTCCCGTCTCTACACCTCACAGCTGGAATGATGGGGGAGCAAGTAAGTCGCACAATGGGAGGAGGCAGAGAGATTTATAGAATTGACTTTTGAGTCGACTCAAAAGTCGGAGGCAGAGAGTTATTGAGAATTCTCAGAAACACCCATGAGCAAGTAAGTGGCACAATGGGAGGAGGGAGAGAGTTTTTGAGAATTCTCATGAGCAAAAACACCCATGAGCAAGTAAGTGGCACAATGGGAGGCAGAGAAGGATGGAGGGATACGGAAGAGGGCTTGAGCCTTCATTCCCTGACAACCCCAATCATGAACTCCTTGTTAGCACTTGCACACACTCAGCACAAGCAGCTTCTCGCTACAAGCAGTCACGGGGGGTACTCACAAGGCGTTGCTGTCCACGCAGCCAGCAGCAGGCTCTTCGTCGAAGCTCCCCACGTGGATCCACTTGGGAGCAGACCACTTCTCCCCCTCCACCACGGGATATGCATGGTGCAAGCTGCTCTCATCAAGTCAAGCGCACAGCACGGCACAGCACGGCACAGCACACAGCGCACTGCAGCAGAGAATGACTCACAAGGCGTTGCTGTCCACACAGCCAGCAGCAGGCTCTTCGTCGAAGCTCCCCACGTGGATCCACTTGGGAGCAGACCACTTCTCCCCCTCCACCACGGGACACGCATGGTGCAGACTGCTCTCATCCGGCGTCCCATCCGGCAGCAGGTTGAAGAAGAGCAGAGCATCGCCCTTGATGGGCTTCACCCCCAGCACGCCTTTAGCACAGTCGGACCACGAGTCGTCCTTGAAAGAGGGGTCCTTGTGTGTGGGGAAGGTGGTTTCGCCTCCCTTTGTCACGTTGTTGAGATACATAAGGACTGTTGCGTAGCGATGACCTCCCCTCTGGATAAGGAAGGACGGGGAGGGGGGACGCGGAGGACGGAAGACGCGTGAGAACGAGTGGGAGGAGAGAGGGAAGGAAGGCAGTAGGTGGAAGAAGAGCAGAACATCGCCCTTGATGGGCTTCACTCCCAGCACGCCTTTAGCGCAGTCAGACCACGAGTCGTCCTTGGGAGTAGGGTCCTTGTGTGTGGGGAAGGTGGTTTCCCCGCCCTTGGTGACGTTGTTCAGATACATGAGCACTGTGGCGTAGCGGTGGCCGCCCCTCTGGATAGGGAGGGAATGGGCAGTGGGGAAAGCGGGATGGACGGGATGGCAACACGCTTGGAAGGAGGAAAGGTCGTTTCCCCGCCCTTGGTCACGTCGTTTAGATACATGAGCACTTTCTCGTTGCGGCGGCCTCCCCTCTGGATAAGAGGGATGGTTATGGGGGGAAGAGGGAGAGGGAAGGGAGGAAGGCGGTTGAAGAAAGGTCGTCTCGCCACCACCGTCGCATAGTGGTGGCCTCCCCTCAGGAAGAGGGGGAATGGGCAGGGGGGTAGAGGGGCAGGAGGAGAGGGTTGGAAGGGTGAGATGGGACGTGGGAGCATCACAGGGCCCTGTGATGGACAGAATGCGAGAGAATACCCATGGGCAGGCACGGGCAAACACACGTGATATGAGGGAGTTTTTGAGACGTCTAAAAAACTCCCTTTTATCACGTGGGAGCAGCACAGGGCCATGGACAGAATGCGAGCATATACCCACGCAGGCACGGGCACAGGCAGGCACGGGCACACGCAGAGGCAGGGGCAGGTGTGGGTACGGGCTGCTGTGGTACCTGTTGGTGCAGGTAGCTTTTGAGTCGACTCAAAAGTCACCTTGCTGTGGTACCTGTTGGTGCAGGTAGTTCGTCAAACGCCATTATTTTTTTTAGCTTTTTTTCCTCTTATTTTCTTATTTTCTTTTTGGAAATGTTTTTTTTTTTTGTGTGCGTTGTCTGGGCGCAGGGGTGCCATGCCATGCCACGGTGCGTACCTGCTTGTGCAGCGGGTCGTCAAAGTAGTCGTGGTGTGGGTCGTACTTCTGCCCCACGCCGTACCGTAGCACCTGTGGCGGAGGAGGTGTTGGAAGGATAGAGGGAGGGAGGAAGCAGCAAAGGATTGGTGCGTGGATTGTGGGCACAAGTGCCCCAGGGTGTTTTTGAGAATTCTCAAAAACACCCTGCAGCATCATGGATTGTGGGCACAAGTGCCCCCCCACATGCTCACACCTCCTCACGCCCGCACTCCGCCATGCCCCCACATTCGCGCACCCTCACACCCTCACACATTCGCACACCCTCACACCCTCACCCCACCCACCTGCAGCGACTCCTGGTTGGCGAGTGGCAGGAAGGGAAGGTCCAGACGCATACTTCTGCTGGCACATAATGCAAACCCCCACACATGCACACATCCACACACCTTCGTGTAGTGAGGTGTATTTTGAGGCGCCTCAAAATACTTCTGCTGGCACATAATGCAACCCCCCACACATACACTCACCCACACACCTTCATCCCCCCCCCCCTCCTCCCCCTCCTCGTCCCACCTGCAGCGACTCCTGGTTGGCGAGCGGCAGGAAGGGCCAGACGCATGCCCCTGGCGGCACATAATGCTCTCTCCGCACATGCGCACACCCCGCCCGCACACCCTCGTCTCCCCCTCTCTCCTCCCCCACCGGCGCACCTGCAGCGACTCCTGGTTGGCGAGCGGCAGGAAGGTCCAGACGGCGATGCCTTTGCAGGCACATAAAGCCCGCATGTCCAACCATCCATGCATGCCCGCACCCCCAGCCCCTCCGCTCCCCCCCCACCCCACCTGCAGCGACTCCTGGTTGGCGAGCGGCAGGAAGGTCCAAACGGCGATGCGCTGTTCGATGCGCGCGATGACGTCATCCTCGCCCTTCTCCATGAACATGCCGCTGCTCGTGCGCACCGTTGATACCGACACGTGCCCATCCACGCCGTCCACCACCGATGATCTGACGGCGGGGAGTGAGGGGAAAAGAAAATAGGGGTTGGAGCGAGGGGGCTACGGAGGGAGGAGTGGCCAGAGAGACTCACTGCTCGTCGACTCACCGCTGTAAGCGAGGCGACGCCTGTACGACTTACCGCTGCAAGCGAGGCGTCGCCTGTGCGACGATGTGGTCGCACTCCTCCTCCGACAGGAACCGTTTGAACAGATACGCGCGCGGCCGCCACGACGACAGCTGGATCACGCGCCGCTCGCCTTCATCGCCACCGCCGCCGCTTGCCGTGTCGAGGCGCAGCGTTAGCGACGGGTTCCCGCCATCCTCGACAGCAGAATCAGCGGAATCTGCGGAAGCGACATTGGCGCATGTTTTGGCCTCTGCTCCTGCCGTGTCGGAAGCTGCCGTGCATGTCTCGACATTGCCGCGATCTGCCGCTTCGGCCGCAGCAACCAGAGATATGTGTAATGCGAACGCTGCGCCGAGTAGCAATACAAAGGCAGTTAAGACGAAACGACGAGCGGCCATTGCCGCCCAGGTTACTGAGCCTATGAGAGAACTGTACGGAGTGAATGAGCAAGGAGCGGACGGTCACAGACAAGAAAATGGGAGGGATGCTATCACGCGAGGCAGATCAAAATGGGGGGGGAGGGTCCTAGACGCGAGGCCTTAGAGAAGCCAGGTAAGGCGCGTAGGCAAGATCCGTTGAAGGGGACAATGTCGTGAACTTGCTTTGCGACGCGGCGGAAGCGAAGCAGAGTAGTTGAATAAGACGGTTGAGTTTGAGCGAGATGGTGCTTTGGGGAGGAGAGGGACATGATGTTTTGGGGGAGTTCGAGAAAGCAACCAAAGCAGAAACAAGAATTGGTCACATGGCATAGCATTCCGTACCGGCTGCGAGGTCAGGGCAATGTGACGTCGGTGTGGGATACCCTTGGCACTCGCATGGGGCGGAAACCTTGAAATTTGTCGGTGATGTCCAGCGAAGCTGGAGGGATGCTGAGTTGTCGAGCTTGCCAGCCTGTATTCACACTTCGCCATCGTGGAGCGCAAACTTGGCAGTGCAACCTGTCAAATTCAGGCTCAGAGCCAATGGAGGCTCAGCTTTCCTCCATGCTGTCACACCGGCAGCCCTTAGTTCCGGGAAGGAGTATTGATGGTCTGTAACAAGGCATTCTGTATTAGTGTCAAAAAATACCCCATACTTAGGGGGAATTGAATAATATACACAACATTCAACTCAAAGTATATCCTCCCGGGTCTCCCCACCATCATCGCCTTCTTCACCTTCTTCTTGAGACGGCAACGGTATGCGAGTGTTCATCATTCTCCGACTAGAATGGCCAAAGGGATCCCGCAGCGGCATGCTTAGGTGCTTCTCTAAAGAATTTGCAACTACTTCGGGAGAATCTTGAAGCGATCTTGTCGGAAGGAGTTCGCCATATGCGTTCGGTATGGTCTTGAGCATGTATTGCATGACAGACTCGGGAACTGTAGGCTCCCCGGAGAAGAACAGCATGTGAACCTGCACCATAACCTGCAAACAAACAACCCCAACAAGCAAACAGCAATGTGAGCACAGGGGCATACAGAACAGAGGAGAGCAATTCAGACAGTATCCACTATCCACCTAAAACCTCCAACGATGAGATTACCCACTGCACGCAGGCAACATTGACCTGGCCTATGGCATACATTAACACTGTGTGCCATAATAATGTCACGCTCACCCTCGGGAGGATATTGCACATGTTACAGGCGAAAACGGTTTTGAGGATGTCTGGTCGCACGAGAAAGAGCAAAGCAGAGACGATTGCTGTGCCGTACCATCCATTCATCTTCCTCACGTGCAGCATAAGCACTCACCCTTGGGAGAATGTCGCGCACGTCACACGCGAAGGCGGTTTTGAGGAAGCTGAACGCAATGTCGGGTCGCAGCAGGAAGAGCGGGCGCACAAACTCCCTCACGTGCCCCGCCTTGATGTCGTCTGCTGTCAGCACCGGTGCACAGTTGCGCACCCACAGCTGCGAATAGGGGCGGGCAGAGCAGGGGCAGGGAGGGTGAATGTGTGTTTAGGTTGAGCCTGGAACCTCTTGCACACGAGCTGCCTTGATGTCGTCTGCTGTCAGCACTGGGGCACAGTTGCGCACCCACAGCTGTAAGCGTGGGAGGGGCAGGGCAGGATAGGGGAACAAAAGAATGAGGCTACATGCGCTTTCCCACATCCCGCCTTGATGTCGTCTGCTGTCAGCACTGGTGCACAGTTGCGCACCCACAGCTGAGAATAGGGGAGGGCAGGGCAGGGCGAGGGTGAATGTGTGTTTAGGTTGAGCCTGGAACCTCTTGCACACGAGCCGCCTTGATGTCGTCTGCTGTCAGAACGGGTGCACAGTTGCGCACCCACAGCTGCGAGCAGGGCAGGGGAGAACAGGGCAGGGATGGCGGGGCAGGGAGAGAGAATGTGGCTGATTTGCTCTCAAGATAAGTCACGTCCATTTGACATGAGTCTGCAAGCAGTTTCACACGTGCCCCGCCTTGATGTCGTCTGCTGTCAGCACGGGTGCTCAGTTGTGCACCAACAGCTGCGAGCAGGGCAGGGGAGAATAGGGATAAAGAAATGAACAGAGAAGAGGGCAGGACAGAGAGGGCAAGGCAGGGCAGAGAAGGATAGGGAGAATCGTTGTGATGAACTGTGTTTCGGAAAGAAATGTGAAAGCTTTGGCGGAAAGAGTGTTTACAGAACGAGAGGCACGCATTACACTCACCTTGAAGTTGCCCTGCATGATGCCAAACACCTGATCCAGATCCTCTAGTGCGTAGCTCCCTTCATACCCCTCTGCTCCCAATAGCCTGCTCGCTCAACAAGGGAAAGAGGGGGCGTGTGAGGGAATGTGGGAGGATGAGAGAGTGGGGGAGGCATGAAAGCCACACGGAAGCAGGAACGAAGGTATGGCACGTGTGTGTTACTGTGGTATCTAGCCTCACAATCCAATCACGTCCATTGGAACTGCCATGACGACCTCAGGCCTGGTTACCACGATGACCCCAGGCCTGGGTACCTTTACGATCCAGGACTGGTTACCGTGTAACAAGGCATGACTCACTGGGGCGAGGAGCTGAGCAGCACGATGCGCTTGAAGAGTGTGGGGCGTTCCAAGGACGCCAGCAGCGCCACCATGCCCGCCTGCTGCTTGCTCTTGAGGCAACTCGAAACAACCTGGTTACCACGTAACGAGGAATCACTCACCGGGGTGAGGAGCTGAGCAGCACGATGCGCTTGAAGAGCGTGGGGCGTTCCAGTGATGCCAGCAGCGCCACCATGCCCGCCTGCTGCTGCCCCACCACCGTGCACTGCTGCCCGCGCTCCCTCCCCTGCATTCGCCAGCACAAGCACGGGATTCAGAGGGATGATGGGGTCGATGGGGTTAGCGGGCCATATGGGGTCCAGAAGATACGCAGTTGGAGATAGCAGCAGGTGGTGAGCAGGGGACCAGGGGAGCAGCGGCACAGACGCAGGCACCCAACTCGTGCAGCAGGTCGTACGAGGGTGTTTACAAGATTTCTCAAGAGCACCTTGCGAAGTCAAGGAGCACTGACCTCGACGCCCAGCTCGTGCAGCAATAGCAGCAGGTCGTCCGTGAAGCCATGCAGTGTGCTGTAGCGCTGGTAGTCAAATGCGTCGTAGTCCGTGCTGTGAGGGGCAGACAGACGGGGTGACGGGTGGGGAGAGGTGCGAGGCGGTCTGGTATTGGAGGGCGGGTGCATCTTGAGTAAAGGGGAAGCCATGCAGTGTGCTGTAGCGCTGGTAGTCAAATGCGTCATAGTCCGTGCTGTGCGGGAGAGACGGAAGGGCGAGGGGCGGGGAGAGGTGTGGAGGGGTGTGGTATTGGGGGGCGGAGGTGCATATGTGTGAGGTGAAGCCGTGCAGTGTGCTGTAGCGCTGCAAACGCGTCATAGTCCGTGCTGCATGTGGGTGAGGGTGGAGAAGGCGCAGAGGAGGGAGGTGAGAGGAACGGCATGCACCATGCACCATGCACCATGCAGCGTGCTGTAGCGCTGATAGTCAAACGCATCGTAGTAAGTGCTGCAGAGGGGGGAAGGGTTAAGGGGCAGGGGGGGCAGGGATACGGGAGGATACAGAGCGGCGGTGACGAAGGAGAACAATGCGACACCGCCGCTCAGCAGCATTACTACTCCTAGTCGCCAACAGTACGGGAGGAGGATGAGACATTGTAACGACGTAACTTCTGAGTCGACTAAGAGTAGTAATGCTGCTAGAGCGGAGGGCTAGCGGAAGGAGCTAGAGAGGAATGCCCCTTACCCAAGGGCGCCTGTGACGTTGTAGAGAACAATCTTATAGCGAGTCTTGTCCAGTGCCTTGATCAAGCCGCTCCACACCTGCAGCACATCACCGCGGAGATGAAACGGGAGATGAATTGGGAGATGAAACGGAAGATGTGAAAGGGTCGTTACAAGGCGGATGGTTACCCCCAAACATGAGAAGACACACAGGAAAGGAGAGAGAGCATCGTGTTGCCATGCCTGTAGCACAGTTGCTGGCAGAGCATCATGGTTGCGCATGATGTGGTTACCAGTGCGGCGTTTTTCCGTGCGGTGGTTACCAGTGGGATGGTTACCAGCGGGGTGGTTACCACGTGCCACCCACGTTGTTGTTGCACCCGAAGCGTGTGAGAGCAGCAGCAGCCCTTCTGAGTCGACTCATTAGTCACCACTGAGATGGTTACAGTGAAGGGTTACCAGGAGAGTGGTTACCACAAGTGTCACCCACGTTCTTGTTGAATCCGAAGCCGTGCGAGAACACCAGCAGCTCCGGTCCCGAGCCTATGATTTCCACGTCGTGTCGCTCCAAAGCTGTCTTGGAGGCTCGGAGCTTGGCTGCTTGCATCGCTCTGGGAGGAATAGACCAGCGGGTGGGATGGACGGAATGGGGGGCCGGAAATGGGGGAGCGGCATGGGAAGAGAACGGGGGAGTGAGGAAACGGATGGGGTGGGGGGATGGAACGGGGGAACAACAATGGGGGGATGGAACGGGGAAACAACAATGGGGGGATGGAACGGGGGAAGGAATGTGGGAAGGGGACATGGGAACGGGATGGGGGAACGGGATGAGGGAACGTGATTGGGAACGGGATTGGGAAACGGAATGGGGGAACGGAATGCGGCGACTCGAAGAAGCCTCCTCACTTACCTCATGGCCGCTGCGTTTTGCGCCTTGTTCCCCCCAGCTCCGCCGCCGCCCCCCCCGCCGTGTTCCGACCCCGTGGCGAGCAGCCCCGCGTACGTGCTTCCTGTCAGCCCCCCCAGCCCCTCCAATCCCGCCAACCCCGCGTACATCGACGCTGCGCGCGCCGACCCGTTCCCCCCGCCGACCCCCCCTCCCCCTCCCCTTCCCGCGGCCATCCCGTGCATGCTCCCGCTTCCATACACCCCATTTGTGCCGTTTCCGCCGTTCCCGCCGCGGTTGCTCCAGTCTCCGCCATTTCTCGAGTCGTCCCAGCCGCACCGCGAATCTCCCGCCGCTGCGTCTCGGGAAATCACAAATCCGTTGGACGGGGAACCAGGTAAATCGCCTCGTTGGCCTAAACTTCCGAAGGGTAACCCGTTTCTTCGCCCGCTTTCGCCACCGGAGCGTTCGGAGCTGCTGTCATGCGATTTGATGCTGCTGGCGGAAACGTAATGCGCAGATCCTACCCGTTGATCTGCGCCGTTAATAGCGGCGAGCTCGCCAGAGAAGGACGTGGGTGTGACTCTAGCGGGGTTACGTTCGTCCATGTCGTCCCCCCTTATAGCGGGTCTGCTAATACAGCCACCCATGATCAACGCAATTGTATTAGAAATTGATAGGTCACGGGTCAAGTACGAAAAATCGACGCGGCGGGGACGGAATTTAGGGAAAATCACCCGCGAATCGCCTTAGAAGGGGGAAAATGAGGAATTTCACCCTGGCTGAAGTGTCAGCGGGAAATTACGGGAATCACGTGCAGACGCGCGTTGACGTCGCCCTCAGGCTAGTTTGAGAGGAAGGATATTTTTTTGTAGTAAACTACGATGGAAGTTCGGACGTGGACGCGAAACAAGTCGAATGCTCGTCCGCTGACTTACTAGAAGCTGTACATATTACTGATCAAAAAGATATTTCGAGGTGCTCGAACGGGGAGAATCACTAGCCAAGTTGGCGGACATGGGGACACGGTGGTGGTTTCCACAATTCTGGTATCTGTCAGTGTTCAGGCAGTGTACATAGCTAGTTGGAGGGAGCCGCAATTCGCGTTGAGGGAACCGTGAGACGGGACAAGCAGGTGGAGTTGGAGAGTGGATGCTGGAATGCCGGAATAAATTCCGTGTCTCCGCAAAAGAATGGTGAGTAACGGAGCTCTGTTATCTTCCTGTCGTTCAGCACAACTCGCCTGAATAAAGACACGCTGAACAAGCAATAAAAAAACTGCAGAGCTTCGAACTGTTATGGGGAGAGACAGAACTAGCTAGGCAAATGAACTGCATTGCATGCAACGGATCGCACGAGTTACACCCATCTCGATGCACGTGTCATGTTCGACTGCCAGATTCCTCCAAACTCGATCACAGCAGGCGGATAGGGGCGGGGAGAGGCGGAGCGGAAGAGAGGCGGAAGGGAGGAGGTGGGTAGGGAGAAGGATTTCGAGCCGCAGAAGAAAATCGGCGGAGCGGGATTAGGATTCGGAAATTTCGAGGGAGATTGTCGAGGCGAGTGGAGTGGAGTAGCGATCTATGAACAAGGGTGAACCTTTCTTATCGTTCCGGGCAACAGAAACATTACCTTATGATCCGGCGATAAATCTGGAGCCTCAGTCCCAATCTCTTCAGTCTAGACAGCTGTCTACAGTTTGCATAACCAGGTTGAACACTTGTATGGCAGTGTGGGTAGGTATTGTCTCACTACAACACAAGGACATTCACCCTAAATCTATTCGCCTTCGGGCATCCTACGCACCCACGTGCTTCAAAACTAATGCCACTCCTTGTCCACCCCATCATTGAATCACCGCATGAACAGAAATTGCTGCTGATGTGGTCCGCGTGCCCGTCATATCCTCCATCTCTCATGTTCTGTATGTGTTTTGTGGGCAGGGGGGAAAACCCCGCAATCTCAATCTTTCAACAGACCGAACTCAAACGCGAGTCGACAGCGGGGTGCAACGAGTGGTCAGAAGGCGAGGAAAACGCCAGCGATAAAGATGGGGTTGTCTTTTCCACCCGTCTATAGCTTACAGGTGGAACAGCTTTTGTGATCTTGGCGGCTGCTAGTGGCAGGGTGGCCACACATTCGGGATGTGAGCACAGCAGACGCGACTTACACTGCAAATCTAGGTACGCTTCGAGATCCACCCATATAGGAACGAGTCAATGGAGTTGGTATCTCAACTCAAACCTCGTGAGAAGGCCTTGGAGAGGTAATAAGAGTTTTCAAGAAATCACAAGCAGTGGTGGAAGATGCGACCAACGCTCTGTAGGGCTGAATTCTCTCAAAATCACTTTCAGTTTGTGACCAGGTAGCCGAACGCCAACATTCATCCAATGCATCTGATACAGTAGTGAGGCATCCTGCATGGTTTCTCTGAAAAAACACCTTTTACCAATGGAGGGTGCCCGAATCAGCTAGGAGTCCCCTCGATTTCCTACCCACCATCATTCCAACTTGCACTCTCAAAGTCAACAGTCCCCAAAACGGTTTTATTCGGTGGAGCCTTGTCGAAGTTTGCTACAGAAAAGCATCACTGAGGCACTGCAATCAATATTTGTAACGAGTTCCATTCTTCATGCTTACTGCAGCTTACAGAAAACAGTGTTAAACAAATATCAAGGGTCAAGAAGTGCTTCACTAACATGTTTCACCAAGACTACCCTACATGAACAATCACACAAGTTCAGCGCCAAGAAATATGACATAGATCCACAATAACAGCAGCATCAAACCTCAGCAACAAGCTCAGTCATGACAAACATCCAAGCCACACTCCGTTTCGCTCCTCGGCTGATCCGAGTACCCCCTCGACTTGAGAACCGACTCAAAGAAGCTCCGAAACGTGTCAGAGCAGTCCGGAGGCGTGAGAAACACCACATCGCGCAGCGTGCGGCTTCTCAGAAGCTTCACCATCGCCGGCTCTTGCACCACACCCCCTAAAGTCACTCTCCGGAGACACGGCGACAGCGACAGCAGCCGAGCAGCATCGGGGGAGAGCAGGTCAAGGCACAGCGGAGCAGCAACCACTGGGCAGGGCGCGGGCCGGAATTCAATCTCTTGGATCGCGAGCGACGGGCAGGAGGCTAGCAGCGCGAGCTCGAGCGAGGCTAAGGCGGGAACAGTGGCAGACTGGACGCCTTCGAGAGAGAGGAAGAGGTAGGTGAGCGCAGGGGGCTGGGAGAGGAAGGCGAGGGAGTAGTGGTGGGGTGGGAGCGGAAGGGTGTCTTGGTCCAGAGCGCCGTAGAGGGAGAGGAAGATGAACTTGAGGTTGGGGCAGGAGGCCAAGCCAGCACTGCAACGGAAATGGGCGAGGAGAGGAGGGGGAAGGACCAGCAGGGAAGAACAGCAGAGCAGCGAGGAGGAAGGGAGGACAGAACGAGCAGGTAAGGCAGGGGAGGAATGAAACACGATGGGCCAAACTCACCCAACTTCTGGGCCTCGATTTTTAACTTCAGCAGGGAAACCGCAACTGACCATAGAAGTACCACTGGGAATTGGAAATGTTTTGAAAATTGGAACGAAGTGAAAAGAATACCTGAGCAAGGGAGAAAGCGAGGCGTCGACAGAGACTTCGAGGCAGAGCGACTCGAGAGCGGAGAAGCAGGCGAGGGGCAGCAAGGGGCTGGTGTGGGTCCAGGAGGCGGTCATCTGAATGCCCTTGAGGGTCGTGCGCGCTGGCATGAGTGCATGCAGCAGCTCGTGCGAATCCACATTGTCACACTGCAGGGGTGGGGTGGGGCGATGGGATGATGGGGCGATAGAGGTGAGGAATCAGAAAGAGGAACAAGGGGACTGGGGGAGGGTGGGGGGGCTGGTGTGGGTCCAGGACGCGGTCATCTGAATGCCCTCGATTCGAGGGTCGTGCGTGCTGGCATGAGTGCGAGCAGCAGGGCGTGCAAATCCACATTGTCACACTGCAGGGGTGGGGTGGGGCGATGGGGATGGGGCGATGGGGATGGGGCGATGGGGTGACAAAGAGGTCAGTATGAGAATTTGGTCAAGGTCCAAAATGGGACGGTGAGTGCACAGCGGCACGAAATAAAGGGGATGAACAAGGGGACTGGGAGGGGGTGGGGGGGCTGGTGTTAGTCCAGGAGGCGGTCATCTGAATGCCCTTGATAGTTGTGCACGCTGGCATGAGAGCGTGCAGCAGCGCGTGCGAATCCACATTGTCACACTGCAGCGGGGTGGGGGGACGGGGTGATGGGTGATGGGATGAGTGGGGCGACGGGGTGACGGGGCAATTGAGTGCATACTGTTGTACTGTTGAGTACATGGAAATCCACATTGTCACACTGGAGGGGTGGGGCGATGGGGCGACAGGATGGCATAGAGACGGGGTGAGAATGGACATTCCTTCACGATCTGAAATGGTACGTTGTGCGCACACAAAGGTAAGTTTAGAAGGGGGAAAACAAGAGGACAGACGACTGGGGGAGTGTGGGTGGGCGAGGGTGGGAAAGGCTTTCAGCAAAAAACACACACCATACCCCACACCCACCCACTCCACCCACCACGACCCCCCCTCTCTCACCTGCATCACTCGCACGCTCTCCAGCGCTCGCCCGCGCGCCCTGCAGCTCCCACCAGCCGCAGCCACTTCACACTGCCCCCCAGCAGCGCACACAGCACAGCCCAGCGAAAACGCACGGGCCGACAGCCGGTGGTTAGCCACCACCTCCAGCCTCCGCAGCTTGGGGCACCCCTCTAGGACCGCCTGCATATCTCTGTCTGTCATGTCGGAGCACATCTGCAATTCTAGCTCCTCCAGTGCTGTGAACTGAGCGAGGGGTGGGAGGATAGGTGGCTGCGCAAGGAGGGAAGCTGGAGAGACGGGAGAGCGAGAGGATCCAGTGGTGCTGATGCTGGTGTTGGTGCTGGTGAAAGTGCTGGTGCAGCCACTAGCGCAAGGGAGGGCGTTGGGGCAGGCAGCGATGCTGGTGCAGCCACTACCAGTGCTCGTGGTCTCGCTGCTACCAGCTACAATGAGAGGGCACGGGCACCCCTGCTGCTGCTCCCCCTCCTCCCCTGGCTGCTGCGGCTGCTGGTCCTCCTCCCCTGGCTGCTGCGGCTGCTGCTGCTCCTGCAGCTGCTGCCACTGCTGCAGGTCCGC